CACATCGACCCCGTGCCTCCCCAGCCCCGGTCATCGTTGCCACATCCGAAGACACCCCATCCTGATGTGTGCTATGATAATTTTTAATTTACTTTAGTTACAAGCTCCCGATCTTGATAAGTCAGAATATGGCTCTGGCCTCACCTGATGTGTGCTGCCTGCAGGATGTGTTGCTGCCGGCCATTACTATACTCAGGTTATTAGCCAAGTACTGCCCTCTGTCTCATATATTCTCTAACAGACTTTATTACTACTGATCCTAGAAATCTACTATTAGTTGTTTAGTTATCATTTGAATAACAAAAAATTATTCTGGATGAGGCCACGAATAGACCTAGCTAAAGTGCTTTGTATTATTCTCTCTCCTCATCAATCTGCATTAACCGTTTTTACTGGAGGAATCCCACCTATTTGCCATTGGCATTTTGCCCCTGGAATTGAGATCGGATTCATGACTATTTTCTCAGTAAAATAAATGGCAATTGGGATTACGAGATTCTGCTGCAGTAGTCTGTCTAAATTAAACTAGTAGGTCTCTTAGGTCTATAGTTTCAGTATCTGATTTAATGAATCGATGCCATCATAATAGTATATTACTCGTTTCATTTTCTTTTTAGTAAAATTTACAATGGAAAAAGACGGACGAGTGATAATCAATATAGAAGCTTATATTTTGTAATCCCAGGAAATCAAACTTAAATAGTGAAGCTGAGATCCTTGGTCAATTATCACTGAACCACAAACTCGTATAGAGTTCTTTTTCTTTGAGGTGGTGCTTGGTCAGAGACAACAGTGACAGTAAAGCAACAATCCTGCTTCTCAAGGATTTCTAGGAGTAAACTCTTTCCCATTCGAGTAATGGATGGCAGTTTATTTTAATTTTAGTCAACGTAGACGACGACGACAACAACAACAAAGCCTTTAAGTCACAAATAAGTTGGGGTAGGCTAGAGTTAAAACCCAGCAGAAGTAATCAAGGTTCAGGCACGTGAATAGCGGTTTTCCAAGCACTCCTATCTAAGGCTAAGTCTTTGGGTATATTCCATCCTTTCAAGTCTCCTTTTATTGCCTCTACCTAAGTCAACTTCGGTCTTCCTCTGCCTCTCTTCACGTTACTATCCTGGCTTAGGATTCCACTACGCACCGGTGCCTCTAGAGGTCTCCGTTAGACATGTCCAAACCACCTCAACATAATTTAGTAAAGTGTCAACGTAGAACAGATCTATAATTTAGTATTCTGCTAATTTCTTTCTGTTTAAGTGCTTCTGTTTTGCTGTTTTTTTTTTGTCTTTTTGTCTAGGTGACGTGGACCGTGTATTGAGGTTAAAATTCTTAACCTGGTCATACTAGAAAGAGGATCCAAATACTGCCCTCATCTATTCCAGTTTTGTTCAAAGGTAAGTTGAATTTATTTGCAACTACTGTTAGCTGAATTGCTCCAAGTATTGTATTCCCTTTATTTAGTATAGTCTGCAATTGCAATCCCCCTCGATCATGTTCCTCTTGGAGCTCTATAGCCTAAAGATTATGTGATATGTGCAGGCATCATAGCTCTTTCCCATGTCCTCTGTCCTGGTGCATCTAATGCAGGCATCATAGCTCTTTCCCATGTCCTCTATCTTGGTGCATCTAATTATGAGAAGTTTTTTTTCTTCAGATTACGTGATCCCTTTAGATGCAGCAATCAAAAGAAAAAATAGCAGCTATGAATACCAATGTGATTTGTCTTTCAAATGGTCGGTAATATGCTATGTATGACCATTCAGTAAAGTTCATCAAACTAGTGAGGGTCTTATCATCACAAATGATATATGATATTCTTGTATGGTGTTCCTTACTTTACCTTGTATTTGCTATGTCACTACGATAATTAAATATGCACATGCTTAGTTATTCAATGTACTGAATCACCAAGGTTTCTATATTAAATTAATAAATTATATGCATGTTCATGAATTGCAGGAAAGCATGGAGAACCAGAATATTTATAGAAAGCTTTATGCCTATAAGCTGGTGATGGACAACTAGAAGAATTAGAGAAAGATTTATTGGTGAATGTTGGTGCTGACGGTGCATGAAGAGATCAATAAGCGAATTCATTTAGTTCTGTTTTATGCCAAATGTAGTTGCAAACTTGTAGTTAGAGATGAAGTTTTTATTCTAGTGTGGTCATGTTTATTTTAGCATTATTTTGGTCATTGTGTCATTACTTTGGTTGAGACATATGTTTGAAGTTAATGAATGTTTGAGTTCTTATATGTGATGGTGAAATCTATAATTATGGTACAATTATTTTGGAATAACAAATAAATATCTACAAAAAAAAAGGTGCTGGCCAAAATGCCCTCGTTGCAATGCAATAAACTACAATGCAACCACCGTTTGTTGTTGCAATATCCATTATTGCCACGAACTTTATGTGTTACTACATGATATGTCTACCACCAACAATGAGTCATTGTATTTTCTATCTATTACCACCAACAATGCTTTATTGCATTTTCTATCTTTTACCACCAACATTGATTTGTTGCATTTTCCATCTATTGCTCTTAGCAATGATTCATTGCATTTCCCATCTATTACCACCAGCAAATGAATGTGCAATTGTGACTCTAGCCATCAAATTTATTACGTTGCAAGATTTCTATGATGCAATGGAGCACACTACATGGCAATATGGCCATATTCCCATGTAACTATGGAGTGGCAACAAAGTTATTTTGCGACAAGTTCATTCGTGGCAATACTATCAGCCACGTGTTTCGTCGTAACAGTAACTCACGCAACCATTCTGCTGGTAGCAATATCCATGCTTGCAACCATATCATGGTTGCGTTAGTTTTTTTTTGTGCATTGCAAAACAATCATATTGCAACACCACATCAAAAGGATGCAAAAAGCTATTGCACCGTTCTAAATGCAACCACTTGTTAATGACCATACATAGATGCAATTGATCCGTATCGCAACCCAATATAGACGTCAGGACAGTGCTGGATCCTAGTAGTGTAGAATGGTGTATGTTTCTGTCTATGTGTATGTGTGGAATGTTGTATGATGCCTGGAACGAATGAATCCAAAACAGGCTATGCCAAAACTCAACAACAAAGGTAGTTGTGGTTTAGAGCCGCTTCTGTAAAGCTTATTTGTAGAAATGGCTATGGATCCCAGTCGCTTCTAGAAAGAGATTTGTAGAGGTGATTATTGTTCCCGGCCACCTCTACAAATACCAATACTAGAGGCCTCTACAAAGTGGAACTTATTTCTGGACTCCACCTCCTGCAGACATCCTTAAGATTAATTTTGATGGAGCTTACACTCAAAGAGAAAAGAAAGGTGCATGGGGTTTCGCATTGTGACAGATCATAGAGGGGCTGCAGTGATGGCCGATGCAGGAAGAATCAATGTGGTGCATGATGCGTTAAGTACAGAGTCCCAAGCGTGCCTTGCAGCTCTATATATGCAGCAATAGATCAAGGTACATCTCAAATCCTTTTGGAGACCGATTCATTGATTCTAGTAGAGGCTCCAGTCCCGTTCTTATGATTTTTCAACTAATGATGTCCTATTTGGAGAAGCAAAGTTTCTTATGTCTATAAATTTTGTTCGGGTTGACATTGTTCATCTACCACGCTCTTGTAATATAGGTGCACATGATCTTGCTCGTATTGGTTTGAATTGGGACCCAGATCAATCTCATGTTTGGATCGATGATCCCCTCCCAGAGTTTGTAACTTTGGGAGTTCGTGATGTAAACGAACCTTCCAAAAAATAAGAAAGTACAAACCTTGCTTTCAAAAAAAAATACTAGAGACAGCACCCGCCTCCATAAATCGACGATTTGTAGAGGTGAAAGAGTAGAGGCGGCTGGGACAGCCGCCTCTAAAGTGGTATCCGAGCCGCCTCTATAGTTAAGATCTATAGTAGTGTATTCTTGTTGCTAGGGATGCAAACACATTGCCCTTGCCCTTAGTGGGAGAGTAGACTAGCCTCTAGAACCCCGCGTACATTTGGCATGGGTTGGTTGTAGTTTCTAGCCTTCTACGCACCTGAGCGTGGTGCTACGCGATAAGATAGAGACGTGTAGGCCGATAGAAACATATTTCTTGGCCTAGCAAACACGCGAAACCGGACTGGAAGCCATGAAACTACTAGGCCGTCTGACGAGGCTTTCTCGTTGAACTTGAGAACTAGGCTGTGGGGCTGAGCGAATCGTTCACATACAACCCATTCACTGGTTGATTTCTGGACTGATAAGTCCAGCTAATGTTGATTTGTTGTGAAAGAAAAATACTATTGACTGGCTGATAAACCCTACCTAAAACCAACGAGCGAACAAGCTGATAGACAGGTCGATGTAGTGCGGGTGTCGGCAGCGCTCACTCCTGAACCGTGGCTACTGTCTAGGCGCCAGGCGGTAGGAGAACATTGGCGAGCACTCGACGCCGTGAGAATCAGGATCGTACAATAAAAAGAAGTTATCACGAACTAGCCATTGGCTCAGTGGTGTGTCGGGTATGCCTGAGTGGAGCGCCGGCAAACCTGAGTTCGAGACTTTGAGCGCTGCTCTTGAGGTAGGTTTTCGCACTGGTTTTTTTTTCTTTGCAGTTTTAAGTTGCAGCCTCAAGCGTGCATGCTCTACAATGATCAAGATGTCGTTTTCGTGCCACGTGTATGTCTTAAGTATAGATGTAGATCTACCATGTGCATAATGTGTGTGGTGTGACTTTATGTTAAGTTTAGATACAACTTATAGTACTGGTATTGAGACATGAAAACAATGTCGTCTACTTTTACCCTTTCTCTCGTACTAGTTCGTAAGGAAACCAGTGATATATTGTACAGGCATGTGACTAGAAAACATCAAATGAGATAAACAGGAAATGATACGAGATGCGTCATGTTTGCTTCCGTAGTTTCTTCTGGCAACTACCACCCAACCAAATGTTTACACCTTCAATTCACCGCCTGTTATTGTCTCCTCTTTGGTTCCTTGTCTATGCTTCTTTATCCTTCACAACCTTGTCGATTATAGGATCAACAATTGAATCAACTTGTTTCTTTATCTCGTCAACCTGATCAATATAAGCGATCGCAATAGTTATCCTCGTCATATTTATACATATATATAGTAACCACATGTAGATGTATTCTAAGGGCTACTTCCGCTAGCGACGTACACTCGTCTTAGCTAAAAATGGTAATTGACTGAACACATTGCCAAACCTAGTCGAACGACCCCACTCCTAGTCTGTGATCTGTGATTGTACCAATCGTACCGAGTCACTTGTCTTCTAACACTATCCAGCATAAATACAATTTTCTTCTCTTATAAATAAATGGTTTTGTTATATTCATTCCACCTACTTAACGGCTTAACCAAAGGGCCTGTTTGAATTCATTAGCACAAAAATTAGTAGCTAAAATTAGTACTAGTGAATCCAAACAGACATGCTAATTATTAGTTGAAGTACGTTTAACTATTAGTTTCATTAGTAGGTTTAAAATTACTAATAGGTGCTAATAGTTTATATGCACCCTCAACTCACTATCTAACCACCTATTAGCATGTGAATCCAAACAATCCCCTACTAAAAATAGCTAGCTAAACATTAGCAACATTAGCTATTAGCTAGCTAATTTCTAGTGCAAATGGATCCAAACAGGCCCTAAGAGTAAGGCATTGCTCGGTATGGATTCTTGGAGGCTCTAGGAGTTGTTCTGCGTGCAGTTTAATCAAACAAGAATTCCTGCTACTTCATGGTTGAAGTCCCAAGAAATCCGCGGAGACAAATAAAGGGTGGCAGGTGAAGCTAAAAGGAGTAGCTTACCAACTCCTTTTTGATCTACTATGAGAAATTGTCTAACTAAATATTTTTAAAACAAGTTTAACTATACTAGTGAAAATGCTTGTTAAGTCAAAGAAAAAAATAATACTCTCTTCATTTTAAATTATAAGTCACTTTTGTTTTTCTATAATTATAGTTTTTGCTATAAGTTACATAATAAAAACTACGTGTAAGTTATGACTCACGCTTGCTCCGATCTCCACACAGTCCCACCCACACACCCCAACGGGGCCCCACCCACCGAACTGACAATGTGCTAGTCACTTTCACCATGACGAATAAGACATGGCTGAAAGTACCGTTGGCTGATTTATTGTGAGAAAAAAATACTATTCATTCGCTGAAAATAGCCACGTGAACGGGGAGTAGATCAGCACGTCTCTCCAGCTTCCGAACAGATCGAGCAAAAAAAGTCGCTGGCAGTAACTTGCAAGACTGTACCATGAGCTTTACGTAGTAGCAACACTAGCAGCTGCCGTAATCAATACTCTCGTGTAGCGATAGCTTGCGTTTTTTCTTGGCTGAGAAAAATAGATTGTTGCGTAACTAAACTGACCTTCTCGATTAGGGCCTCGGCTTTCTCGGCATCTTCCTCGATCGCATCCGTGACCGTCTTAATCCTCGAGGCTGCTTCCTTGAGATTTTCGTTGCCGGGGAATGCGTCAGCGACCTCGCCGGCGATCTTCTCCGTCGCCTCCGCCACCGTGTCGATCACCTCGATTGCCACCTCTGCCGTCTTCTCTATCTTGTCTGTTGCCGCAAAAGTTGCAATCAAAATATATACATGCTAGAAGATGATTTCAGACAGCGATGAGTTTTTTTTTTTTTGTGAATTTCAGACAGCGATGAGTATGCGATCTCTGTTTACCTTCTAATGTTCTGAACCTCCTGTAGATTGGTATTGCAACTATGACGGCACCAACCAACCACTTGGCCCTGATAAGCGGATAGATTTGGAGCGCGAGAAGGAAATCAATCAGATACATTTGGAAGCATTTGAACAATGAACAAGCAACGCGTACATCTGTTCTTCACTCACCATGGAGGCATGCTGGGTATTGGCAGGTTTCCTCCTGACGGATTTGCAGGGCCAGGACCAACTGCAGGAATTCTGACCAAAAAAACAGGTGAAACTTTATAAAACAAAGCCGTTCTGCAGTAGCTGCATGAAACATACTGTACAGATAAAACAAACAGCTTGTTCGGCTGGCATTAAATTGTCACCGCAGCAGCTGAAAACACTGTAGCAACTGGAATTTGGTGAGAAAAAAACACTGGAAGTCCAGCTAGCCAGAAGTGGCCAGCCGAACAAGCTGAAAGCCGCTTAGCCCTGTTCGTTTGGCTGATAAGCCATGGCTGAAATTATCGTTGGCTGATTTGTTGTGAGAAAAAAATACTGTTCGTTGACTGAAAAAGTATGGCTTATAAGCCAAGCGAACATGGCTACTCTGGAGAAGACGATATATAGTGAATTAGGATCTATGAGGAGCTGTAAGAAAGAGAGATGCATTTACCGTGTAGTTCCTCTGATAGGGAAGGCATTGTTCATGCCTGAAGAATTCATCCTTAACCCAGTAAGCTTCTGTTGGTGACGAGAAGATGCGGAGATCACTGGATTCCCGTGGTGACGATGAAAAACCACAGAGGTACGAAGTGCCGAGCCTCTGGAGGTAATGGAAGAACCGAGCGCGGCCATGGGATTTAAAAGTGGCTGAAGTTTCTTGTACGTCGAAGCTACTCTTCGGTGATATCTAGTAAGTTTGTTGCTTGGGGGCAACGAGTTTGTGTTGCTGTCCTCTACTTCGTCCGTGCCGTGAAATCTATCGCTCTGAGCCTCTGAGCCAACTATGAATACATTTAAAGGAGAACGCGGCCATTTGTACAGAGCAAGAAGCTATACAGCAACCTTGACTAGTAGTTGTTTTTTTAGTACAAACTTGACTGGTAGGTTGTTTTGGCCTGGTTTAGATTCCAAGTTTTTTCACTCTTTCTCCATCACATCAAATCTTTGGACACATGCATAGAGTATTAAATGTAGATAAAAAAATAACTAATTACACAGTTTGATTGTAAATTACGAGACGAATCTTTTGAGTCTAGTTAGACCATGATTAGACAATAATTGTCAAATACAAACGAAAGTGCTACAGTGTCGAATACTGATTTCTAACTATGAAAGGCCTTTGTAAAGAAGAGACAAGAGGTTGACTTTGAAAGGAGACAAGAGGTTATTTGAAAACGTTGCAGATTAATCAAAACCACTAGAAATAAAAAAAAACTAGATTGTCAGAGGAAAATTAGATGCGTTGAGATGACAAGTCTAAGCGGTACTTCCAGACAGTCGAGAATGAAGAAAAAGAGCACGAAGTAATAAAAATAGGACGGTGGAAATGTGGAATAGGTAGTAGAACAAAAGGTCTTGCAGTTAAAACTATTCAGCCAGGTTAATTACAGTTAGACTGAGTTTTCAAATAACCAAATGACCATGCACAGTATGCTCCGTTTGGATCCTTGGAATTGAATTCATTTTAATAACTGTAACACCCCTAATGTTAAGCATCACTAAAACTTAGGCATGTCATCATTATGCATAGAAAACATCCATAGTAGCTAACCATGCTTTGCATTCACTAAAATCAATGTTAAATATTAGTTTTGCAATGCATTGGTGTGGTGTAATGATGAGCAAGAACCAAAAAATATTTTAAGGTACTTTGTGACCTTCTATTTTTGAATTTCACCAAAATACCTGAAATTATGCCCTAATAAACTTTGTAGTGAAAAGTGTGTACTTTATACTAGTGCCAAGTGTAGGGTATGAATTCAAGCCTAACCAATAAAATTTGAGCTTCAAATTTGAATTCAAACTTGGATTCCAGCACTTCAACAATACTGGTCAAGTCTTGGAATTCAACAATGAGTTCAATTTTGTGGGATTTATTAAAATGAATTTCTCCAATAAAATTGTTCAAACAAAAACATCATTTTGAAGTATGAAGATTGTACTTCACAATGGTGTTATTGGTTGATTTGTTTGTTCACTAATTAATCACCAATTAATTCACCAAAGAGGCTAGAATAACTGTTTTCTTTCAAAACCTTAAGTTTCAGTTTGATCTACCTCTGTTCTTCCCTCTTGATCTCTTCAACCAGTTAGAATTAGGGGATGGTGCTTAAAGCAAAGATGGGGACTAAATCAAGGTGAACAACTTTTATTTTTAGAGATCTTCGAGTTACCTCATGAAATCGAGAGAAAATGGGAGAGGAAGGGGTCTGTTTCAGTCTGCTACAGTGCTCGCCGAAGCAGCTGCCACGCAGCAAGCTGCTTGCCGCCGGCCGCCGCCCCCGCTCACCGCCTTGCGCACGCGTGACGCGTAGCTGCTTCGCCAGGCGCGTCGCAAGCAGTTGCTGGACGCCCTGAAGTCGCGCCATCGCCCTTAAATCGCCGAGACAACCGCTGTGCCCTTCTTCCTCCCTTCCCACCGTCGCCAAGCACCACCCCTCCGCCGACCGTGTTCGCCGTACTCGGTCGCGCCATAGCTTCGCCATCGCCTTGTGCATCCTCCCGAACAGCTCGCGTCAACTCTAGCCACCGGAATCGCCAGACGCCGTCGTCTTCCTCCTCGGTGTTCGTCGCGCCGCCGTGAGCCCCCTCACCGTGGGCAGCCCTATGTGGCACATCTCTTCCCCATCTGTCTCATGTTTTAGCTCCGCCTTGTTTTCCCTGTTGCTTACACGCCAGATGGTTTCCACAGCCGAGGCCTGGACTTGCCGGAACGCCGTCGTGTCCGTGAGTTCGCGCCGCCGCCTTCGTTCCCGACGTCGACAACCTAGCTCCGCCGCGTCCCCGCCTTAACCATCAACCGTTATGGAGTTGCGGTGAGCTCATGATGCTAGCTCCGTCGCCCGTTTTACCTCTACCGCGCAATAATGGCCGGAGCGCCGCCGCGCCGGCGTGCTCTGCCTCGGCGAGCCGCCGTGCTCGCACGCAAACGCGTTACTAACCTGCGCGCGTCCAGCCAACCCCTTGGACGCGTTCGTTTGAGCGTTTCGAGTGTCCTGGTGACCTTCGTGTCGCCAGTGATCTCACCGTTGGCCGCCTCTGCCTCGCCGGAGCGCCGCCAGTTCGCCGTGGTCGCGGGGAGCCGCGATGTTGGCGTCAATTTGCCCAACCGACCCCTTGAGTGAGTTAGTGAGGTCAATAGGGACGTGTAGGAGTGGTTTGAGTCACCAGAGTCGTCATCGTCGATCATCGCCGCCGCGCCGGAGCTCCGCCGAGCCGCCATGGCCGCCGTTGTGCTCGCCGTGGTGCTCGAGGAGGTCAGCCAATGCCCTAGATAGATTCGACAGCTCGAGTGGGTATCACCGGTACCTTCGCCGCAGCCGGCGAGGTCGCCGTCGGCGAGATTTCGCCGGTCAACAGCAGAGTCCGCCGCCATCAGCGCGGTGGCACTGTGCGCTGACAGGGGGACCCGCCTGTCATCCACTGTGTCTGGCAGTGTGTGTGAAAAATGTTTTAAATCCTTTTTCGAATTTCAGAAATGATTAAAATGTGCAGAATCTTGTTTAATTCATAACTAAATAATTATTGCTGATAAAATTATGAAACTTTTTGTGTAAGCTTTTTATCTTATGCTTAATCACGAAAAAAATATGAGTTTGCCAAAATCAGTACTTTTTCTAGGCTCAAAAATTACATCTTTTAATTAATAATTGGACCTTCCATGATTTTTATAGGCTAAAATAATTATCCTTTAATCATGACAGTTTTTGTGTATGCTTAATATGATTAGACCTGCTCTCACAAAAATTTTGGTACTGATTTGATAAAAATAAATTATCCACTTAATTAAATGACTTGTAATTAATTAAATAAATACCAAAATGATTTCTATAATCCTTAAATGACTTTGATGTGATTTTGGACTTGATTGTGGACCTTGGAACACTAATGACTTGCTGTTCCTTGGCAACTTCTTTACATGCTTGTTGTACTCATGTTAAACTTGTTAATAATAAACACAAATGTTGTTTTGGTGAATAGTGAAAGGTCCTAATATGGCTAGAGGGGGGGTGAATAGCCTATTTAAAAACTACAAATCAACTAGAGCAATTTGATTAGTAAGACAAATAGCGAAATGCAAACTTGCTCTAGCTCTACAAGGGTTGCAAGCCACCTATCCAACAATTCTAGTTGCAATGATCTATTTGCACACAATCTACTTGACCACTACTCACTAAGAGCTCTCACAAAAGCTACACTAAAGAGCTCCACTAGATATGTTTAAAGCACAAGGCAAGCTCTCAATTCTAATTACACTAAAGAGCTTGCTATATCTAGTTTATTGGAAATATAAATGAGTAAGTGAGACGATTATACCACGGGTCGTGGAGTGAACCAATTACACGATGAATATATAGCCAATCACCGGAGAATGCGAATGACAAGAGACAACCGATTTTTCTCCCGAGGTTCACGTGCTTGCCAACACGCTAGTCCCTTATTGTGTCGACCAACACTTGGTGGTTCGGCGGCTAAGAGGTGTTTCACAAACCTCGTCCCACACGATAGGACACCGCAAGAACCGACCCACAAGTGAGGTAACTCAATGACACGAGCAATTTACTAGAGTTACCTTTTCGGCACTCCGGGGGAAGGTACAACTCCCCTCATAATCACCAAAGGCGGCCACGAACAATCACCAACTCGTGCCGATCCTTCACCGCTGCTCCAACTGGTCTAGGTGGTGGCAACCACCAAGAGAAACAAGCGAAATCCGCGATAAGAACACGAATACCAAGTGCCACTAGATGCAATCACTCAAGCAATGCACTTGGATTCTCTCTCAATCTCACAATGATGATGGATCAATGATGGAGATGAGTGGGAGGGCTTTGGCTAAGCTCACAAGGTTGCTATGTCAATGAAAATGTGCAAGAGAGCTCCCTTGAGCGGCCATGGGGCTATAAATAGAGCCCCCATCAAATAGAGCCGTTGTACCCCTTCATTTGGGCAAAACACGCCCGACCGGACGCTCCGGTCATACCGATCGGACGCTGCCCTCGGCGTCCGGTCGCCTGATGGACGCCACGCGTCACCAGACTTCAAACGCTTTGTTCAATCGATTTCAACGGCTCTGGTGGCCGACGGACGCTCCGGCAAAAAAGCGACCGGACCTTTGAAGCCCCAACGTCCGGTCGTTTCGATGAAGCTCCCGAGGCATGATTTTTCGACCGGACGCGTCCGTCCACCACTTGATCGACGCAGCCGTCCGGTGTGCTCACTCCTAGCCAACTTTAGACCGCTGAAGTTAGCTTACGACGACGACCTTGACGACCCGGCGTCCGGTGCTTACTGATTCGGCGTCCGGTCATCGGACCGACGCCAACATCATTTCGATCAACTCCATTTCAACTCTTACTTCTTCACCCTTGCTCAAGTGTGCCAAACCACCAAGAATTTTGCATCCGCACAATAGAAAATAGACATTTCATTTTCCGAAAGCGCGAATCCCATGAAAGCAAGCTTCGGCGGGAGGAGAGAGGGACCCAAACCCATCTCAACCCTACAAACACCTTGTGCACATGTGGTAGCATATTTACACAAATATTATCAAGGGTGTTAGCACTCCACTAGATCCTAAATGCATATGCAATGAGTTAGAGCATCTAGTGGCACTTTGATAACCGCATTTCGATACGAGTTACACTCCTCTTAATAGTACGGCTATCTATCCTAAATGTGATCACACTCACTAAGTGTCTTGATCACTAAAACAAAATGGCTCCTACATTTTATACCTTTGCCTTGAGCCTTTTGTTTTTCTCTTTCTTCTTTTCCAAGTCGAAGCACTTGATCATCACCATGCCATCATCTTTATTATGCTATGATCTTCATTTGCTTCACCACTTGGAGTGTGCTACCTATCTCATGATCACTTGATAAACTAGGTTAGCACTTAGGGTTTCATCAATTAACCAAAACCAATCTAGAGCTTTCAAATAGTTAACCTAACAATACCGCGAAGGAAAGTTGTACTCAAGTTACATCATCCGAAAGCATGCATCTTTACTTACGTTTAGTGAGCGAAAGTGGTGACCTGCTAGTTGAGCAAGCTCCTGAGGCGGGTTTTCACTCAGAGGAAGTTGGGTGTGGTATTTGTGGAACATCTAAGGAGTCAACCCCAACACCACAGGTAAGCCCCGGAGCATACAACCATTTCCTTGTGTTTTGCAAATATCATTCACAGAAGTCTTATTCTTTGTGCACTAAGTACAATGGGAATTGAGTAATTACCGACTGCTGCATGCCTGCCTTGATATTCCAATATCATTCCTTGTTACCCTTTTTATAATAGGTTAGATATGCTTAGCCTTGCTTAGGTGATAAGAGTCGAGGGGTGATTTCATCATTCGCGATGGGTTCGTACTCAGGTAATGTCCTGAGAGTTAAATAATAATGAATATGCTTTAAATTGGAGACCCGGCGGGACATGGGTTATGTCTCTGGTGGTTAAGCCGACAGGTTTGCCTGGTCGTGCTTGCCCCATCTGTATCGATTAAGGACCGATCGTTGTAGGGCCGCTTGTTATCGTGATTTGTAGTACTGGCCACCTACTCCGGTAAGCCTGATACCTCGGCTATTTCATTATGTGAAAAGACAACTGCACACTGGGCATGGGAGATGGTGCGAGTAGCGTGTACATATTCTGTGAATTCGCCAGGAGCGGCGCAGGGAGGTGTAGTACTGTGCTCTCGGGTAGCACAAATCGGTTCACGTTTTGAAGGATCTGAGTGAAGGTTGATATATGTAAGTCCGAAACTAGGACTTGCATATGTCGTGTGGTAAGAAAACCCCAGTTGGGCCAAATCGATTCGAATCGCCGTTGCTTCTCAGAAAAGAAGACTCGATCAACTGAACTACGTCGTAGTTAATAACTGAACAATAGTTTATGATTCTTAGATGAGATGATAAAGAGTGAATGATTTAGATTAGGTGCAAATTGGAGATTCATAATCTTTTAAACTTGAGCTAAGACCTTGAAAGTAAGGATCAATCTTTAGTAAGCTTTTCCGCAAAAGTTAATCTTGATTCTTGCTACAGACTTACCTTGATTCCAATAAGCCTGCATATCCTTGGAGTCTTTCCTTTTCGTTGGTTAAGTTTTGCTGAGTGCCTTTGTACTCAGGGTCTATTAAACCCTTGTTGTAGGTGAGTCTCATGAGCAGTTAGGTTTTTGCCCCTGCTGTATGATGGTTCTGGAAGAGGAGTCTCAGCAGTAGAGCAGCTGTCGTGCACCCATGGGCAGGGTGAACTTCTTTTGTGTGTTGTAATATAAGTGGTACCCGTGATGCTACTTCACTGCCTTGATGGCTAAAAACTTATGGTTTGTAATCACTAAATAAATAGTTTGTAAGACTTCCGCTTTTACTCTGATGTAATATATTTGTATATTTGTACAATTGTTGTAATGTTGCGATGCTTCCTGTAATGTATCCTGCTTGGAAAGGTAAACGTGGATAATTTGGGGTTCCTCGAGAACACCCGACAGACTACCGAAGTTGTATGGCTCCCATGTGCAATAGTTAGAAGTCTAAAAGGTAATGGCAGGCACATATGGGCCATATAACTTGGGTGGTTCTGCCACAATAACCACAATTTAAACACATATTAATTAAGCTAATATGATTGTATATGAATTATATTTGTATATTATCGTTAGCTATACGAGAGAGATGCTTATGTGTTGTATTTCTACCGTAGGGGAGCAAGTTGAAGAGCATTTTATAAGTTGCAAAATAGAACATAGAATGGTGATCTATAAAATTAATTTATATCTCCCACCCTATAAATTTGAGATATAGTTATATGTGAACTTTGGAAAGTGATGGAACGTAGCCTAATTTAGAAGAATTTGCAATCTAGAACTATAATTTCATGGAAGAGTGGCTGAAGCAAAGCTAATGGCAAGAATCGGAATAACGTGAATGAAAGGGCATATCTGTAGCATATCAGAGTATCAGATGCGGAGAAATGGTTACAGAAAACATGCCTCTGTAAGAAGCCTCAAACTAAGATAGAAAGTTGTTGGGAGATAAAGTCTGGAGTATGTACGAAGCCTCAAACTAAAGGAAGTAGTTGAAAGATGAAGAATCAGTATATACCTACCAAGAAATGAAAAGCAGCTAGAGATCTAGCCAGCTCCTTTGCCTTTAAAAAGTTTGCACCTCAACCATCCTTTTTTGTGAGGGGAAGGGATTCTATTCAATCGAGAGTATACTTATATTCCTGTTTACATCCAAGTTTATGGATAATAAGGAAGACACACTAGAGTAAATCTACAGCACCCTAGTAACATTCTTCGCCTCCAATTCATCACCTTGCGATTGCCTAGTTCCAATTTATGACCTCGACGATTGCCTAGTTCCAATATGTCAAAACTTAGCGACGCTGATGACCACCTCATCAAATAAACAGTGGCGGCGCTGTTTCAACCACCTCGTTAAACAAAAATGCCCCCCAAGCCATTCCCTTATTAGCATGAGGAATGAACCAACATGTTAATTTAGCACATGCAACAGCTCATCTCCATATCATTGGTCGAGTAAAAATCTTAGTGTCAAAGTTGTTAACAAATCTTTCAACCACAGCAATATGCTGCGTAGTGCTGGAAAAGCCTTTACAGTTTAAGGATGGTGCTACAGGCAGAAGCTAACTGCTAACCACGCTGTCATCAAAGTAAAGAAACTTTCAGTGCACACATTACAGTAATGAAAGAAATTACTTGTTGTTTCTGGGGAAAAAAAAAGTTCCAGATCTCTATCATCATAGTACTGCATCACCCTTTCTTCTATGCTACTCCAGAGTCCTGCTGCATGTTTCACATTGTATATGTGCAAATGTCAAAATGGTTTTCAGCGGGCTCCAAGATTAGTATAAAAATGGGCAAGATACAAGTTGAACCATATTCATGCTGAGTCCAAGTCTGGTGGCTCTGCCACCCTAACCAAGTTGCTGTGCAGGACAGCATATCAGCAAGATTTCAATTGATGCAATGACCAAGGAACTTTTCTTGTAGGAAAAAAAGTTTGGTGTTTTTCTAGAAAAAAAATCAAGTTGGTTCAACTTAAACCATGTGTTGCATGAAAAATTGCTATCTCATGGGATTGGCATTGTCAAATAAATCAATTCAAAACGACCATCCTCAACATTCTTCTCAGGGTTGACTGAAATCTGGAAGCAGAAGGGACTGTTGTTGCCTTGGCTCAGCAGACATTTGATCAGAATAAGCCAAATAAGATAGAAATTAGGCTTTTGTTCGGTTTTTCTCCTTTTTGCTCTCTCTTTGTTGCCAGAACCATCTATCATACCAGAAGTGCTCAAGTTACACGACTCATAGGTTTCTGACAGCATGTGGCTTTTGTGGCATTCAGATACATCATCTGCAATGATATTGGCAAATAAGGTCTCCGCAGCTCTATTCCTCACAAGCAAAGGAACTTGTCCAGATTGGTCATAGACATATATCTGCATATGATGATAAGATAGTTTTACAAATATATACTTAACTAGAAAAATAAAAACTCAAGCTGTAGAAAGTCTTACCAGAAATGGCTTGTATATCTGGCCAGGAACATGAAAATATTTTGGGTTATTAGGACAATCAAGTTCAAACTTGTTTTCCCCATGAAGGTTTCTGCATATAGATTCATACATCACGAGAAGAGCAATATGTTTATGTATAAGCAGATGGCAGCATGGTATTAAGATGCCTACTTGTGATATAGAGGTGAACCACATAACTTGCATCCAGGAGTAACCAAATCTCTGACAATATCACTGTGCTCTTTGAAAGAAAGTTTGTCAATGACTGACAAGTTTGCCTTAAGGGGGGAGGTGTGAGAACTCACTAAAACCATCTTGCCAGTGCATGCATAAATGTTTATATTACATAATTTTCTCTGAGAGAGTAGTTCTGATATAGACAAGAAATCCGTTGATTCATTTTCTTTTGTTTGTTTCCAGTTCTTCGATACCACCTGCAGCATAGTACTTTAAGAGTTTTAGTACATAGAGTGAGTATCTCAATGCTATATGGCACGGAGAAGACAAATTGACTGTAATACTCAACTTATTTCATACTCAATTGTGAACTTATCTACTAAGAACCATCAACGCCTGAAGTCGTGGTTTTTTTCGTTCACTCATAATCATTGTAATCCAAGGTGAGATGATGCAAAACACGAAAGTCAAATACAAAGCACTTGCAATGCCAGAGAAGAAGGTGAAAACTCAGCAGTTGAGCCCTTAAGGGAAAGGCAAGTGCAGGTCCATACTCTAGTTAAACTGAATTGAATTATTCCAGTAGATTTTACCTGATGATGACTTTCCGCAAGAGCACCTTTAGTGCGTATGGTCCATTCTGCCACTCTTGTTAGCTTTGATTTTGTAGTATTCCCGACTTTGCAACTGCTTATTAGTTCACGTATTCCTATAAAAGAGGACATACTAAGTTACAACCAGAGTGCTAAAAATATTATTTTATTAGGCATATTTTCGTGCTGAGAAACTCTTTGAAGAAAATAGGTGTCAATATAAACAGTGAACGCCTGATACCAAGTTGCCCCATAGTTCAGATAATTAACTTGGTAGGAAAGGCTTTTGCAAAGAAGGAACAACCCAGGCACCCAGACGAAGTATAAGATAACAAATTAGCACAGAATATATGCAAAAAAATCAGCAACCTGAAGCCATCAATAATTGTCAGTAATAAGCAGAATGATGTCTCCACTCAACCAACAATAATGTCCTTGAAGGCCTTATTGTTACTGGCCAATGTATGTTTTCATATGCGCTATATGGTATAGATTGGAAAAATAAGCTATAATTTGCTTTGTAAATAGAACATTGTATCATTGAAGAACCAAAAGAAACATTTGCCAGACTGCAACTTAATACCTTCAGGTTCAGGGTTCAGCAAGTCTTTAGTGTTCAACAATACTTGGACTGAAGACATCTGAGAAGCTCTTCCCTCCAGGCCATTTCTGAATTGCACTATCTTAATATCTGAAACAAAATAATGATAAGCTGACAATAAGCGGCAGAGAGCAGCAAATGTGCTGGCACAAGCAAACACCAGATGAATTTCCTAGGGTCACATTGAAATCTAAAACAAAATGGAAACAACCCTAAGGGGCTTCCATTCTTCCAAGAATTGCATCAAGTTGCAGCAGCAGCTTTGTAGAAACAATTTAGTGTAGCTTTTTCGTTTTTTTTTGTAAAAATAAAAAACATGTAGCATTTTTAGTACAAGTGAAAGCGCACTACATGAAAAATATGACCGCACAACGGACACTGGACAGTTATGATCCTCACTTTGCAGCAGTAAGACATCGCCAGCGATTATGGTGGAATTATGCTTGGAGGACCACAGGGAGACAGAGAAGCTGGACCGTGTATCGTCGCCGACTTCAGCAATGGTTTTCTGATACGTCCTTCCGGTTGCAGCATTGTGCTCCTAGGAACAGAGAGAAACGAGATCGCCCCTCAAGGACACGACATAATACACGCACCCCCAAAATCCAAATGCTCTCCCCAGCTAGGCTAGCGCCGCCGCAGCTGCCGGATGTCGGATTTAGGATTGCGCATTACCTGGTGGGGAAGGACGCGGCGAACGACCGCCAGTAGCTGCACGAATCCGCCGACATGACTGGCGGCCGCCGAGAGGTCGATCAGTGGCCCGTACCAGCTCACAACTGCCGCCATGAGATGAGACCGCCACCGCCGCTGGGCGCTGGCAACGGCCGGTGGACTTAGCGGTAGAAGAGATGGGCCTCTGGAACCCACCTCCCAGGCTACCACCACTAACGGCGGCGGTCGCGGGGAAGAGCGTGGGTTGGTTGACTGGTTGGTACGCGCACGAGCCGGCGCGCGGTGCCGTGCCGTGCCGCACGGTCGCCGGCCCGCCGCTCCGCCAGGTTGGGTTACAAGGACGAGCGATAAGAGGCAGACGTTTGGGCCGGCAGAAACACATTTCTTGGCCCAGCGAACACGCGAACCGGGCTGGAAGGCAGGGAAACTACTAGGCCGTGTGACGAGGCTTTCTCGTTGAGAACTAAAGCCCGTGGACCACCTGAGCGAATCGTTCACGTGGACGGCTGTCTCGGCGCCAGGCGGCAGGAGGACGTTGGCGAGCACTCGACGCGAGTGGTAGTGGGGGAGCGTTGGCTTCCGGTGCTTGCAATTGCAAAGGTTAAACACGGGGCGAGCCATCGGCAGCTGGTTTGCAGTTTGCTCGTTGTTTGGCCATGATTTGCCAGGGCAAGCTGCTCTGAACAGGCCAGACGAAATGAGGAACCACATCACAGTCACCCTATCCTCGGCAACGTCACTCTTCCAGTCATCGTCCCGTCAGGCCTATCGTATCCCTCCCCCAACCCTACACCAAGTCAGCCGGGTAAACGGAGGAGGAGGATGAAAGCAAAAAACGAGGAAAAAAAAGAGAGAAAAGGTTACTCCATGCCAACAGTGACAAGCCACTGGCCGCCGCGCGGGGCAAGTTTTTCTACGCGCCTAGTCCAACTTGGCCACCAACCGAAAGCCCCGAGCCGCGGCGAGCGCGGGCAGCGGGCAGCCCCTCCCCCAGTCCACGCACCGCCACAGCCGTGCCGTCCCCGTCCACGCACACTCGCGTTAATCGAGTCCCGCACGCTTCCCCACGATCTTCCCAGCACTTTCCTCTCCGTCTCCCGCGCCTGGTCTCCGCCTCCACCAGCAGCGCCCGATGCAGATGCCGCCGTCGCGGCCGATCTGACGCCATCGATCGCCGGCCATGAGGCCTCACCGCCGGGCCCTCTTCATCGCGGAGCACAGCCCGGGCGCCGGGGACTGCGAGGAGCACTGGTCCAGCTGCCACACGCCACCGCCGGTTCCCAGCTCCCCTGATTTCGGCCCTGGCCCTTCCCCATCGCTGCCTCCCTCCTTTGGGGGGATTCCATCGCGCCCTCCCGTTTTCCCGCCGTCGCCTGCTCCCGCGCATAACGGCAGGAGGGACCAGGGAGGAGGGATGCAGGGATACGGGCCTCCACCACCCGGCGTCGGCGGCGCAGGCGACCACGACCGACGGCAGTTCGTCAAGTACGTGCTCATCGCCGCCGGGGTGATCGCCTTCGTCTCGCTGATCCTGCTCGGCGTCTCGGTCGCCGTGCGGCGCCGGCAGGTCCGGCGGAGGCGGCAGGCGCTCCTCTCGCCGTCTATCAACACCGGAGGCGCGGCGAACGTCGACGGCGGCGGCGGGCACGACCACGAGTGGGGCGGAGGAGGAGGAGGCGGAGGCGGGGTGGTGCACCACGTCTGGAACATCCGGACCGTGGGGCTCGACGAGGCGTCGATCAGCTCCATCGCCGTCAACCGGTACCGCGCCGGGGCGGGGCTCCTGGGCGCGGCGGACTGCTCCGTCTGCCTCGGCGAGTTCCAGGACGGCGAGCTCGTGCGCCTGCTGCCCAAGTGCGCGCACGCGTTCCACGTCCCCTGCATCGACACCTGGCTCCGCGCGCACGTCAACTGCCCGATCTGCCGCTCCGACGTGCTCGACCCCGCCGTCACAGCCGCCTCCGCCTCCGGAGGAGGAGGCAGCGAGAGCGTCGAGTCCAGCTCCAGCCCGCCAGCTGATCCAGACGCGAATGCCAACGCCGCAGCAGATCAAGATGGCGCGGCGAGCGACGCAGCCCCGGATCACGAAGGAGAGGAGAGCGACGGCCGAGACACTTCACCCGCACAAGAGGACCAGCAAGAGCAATCCAGCTCCGCACAGCCGCCGCCGCCGCCGGAACTCTTGTGCCCGCTGCCGCGTAACGTGCGGCGCGCGGCGTCCATGGACGCTGTGGCAGTGTCGACTGCGGCGGACGTCGCGGAGCTAGACCGGCTGCCGGAGGTAGCTCCTGAAGAGGAGCAGATCGGTGGGAGGCGGAAGCGCTGGCCTGGCCCGTCCCGCGAGAAGGCATCGGGTTCGGGCCATCGGAGCAACCTCAGCACCGACAGGCTGGCTCCCAGTGGTGTCCCGAGGTCATTCTTCTCACGCCATTGCCGCGCTCGGAGCTCGGTGCTGCCTTTATAACTTGTAAGTGATGGCCGTCCGATACTCGAGCTGAATTTTCCTCGCTGCTAATAATGAGATGTTGCTGCTGTTGTTGGATCGACGGCAGCGATCTGTACGCCCTTCCTTATACTTGTGATCTCAAAGAGGTTAGAAGTTGGAACTCGGATCCAGTAATTGGATGTTTGCAAGTCGAGAAATGTATACTGTACAGCCATATTCTTCTCTGCATATTGGATCCAGGAATACTCGTATGATGGTAACCTGATTCTGTCTCGTTCTCCTTTGAGCGAAATTAAATATGGAGATTAACACAAAATCACGTACAGTACTATAATTATAATTAAGTGAGACATGGGCTGCCTGAGTTGTTAGCTGGCATTGGCATTGCATTCTGTCCGTCCTGTCTTTGCTTTTAGGTTTGTTTTGTCAGAGGAGCATCCGCACGCGGAGATCATTGGTCTGTCTTAAATGGTTTGGAGAAAATTGCATCTCCCCGTCCGCTTTAGGTTAGGCGGGTCTGGTGATGGCCATCGCGGTCCAGATGGTGCCGGACGCCAAGCTGTGCTTCCATAGATCCATTCCGTCATTTGCCATGAAAAACGTACTTGAAAGTACTTGCATTTCTTCTCCTATAATCTAATGTACCTGCAACTGTCGCCTTCAGAAATACGTAGGTCTATTCCACCATTACTATTTGTTTCCTGCAATTGGCACTGGCAACAACGTCTAAACGGCAGAGCAGAATAATGCGGCAGCCGGCAGGTTCCAGAAGTCCAGAGCCAGATCCTGACAGTAGCTGGCTCACATCGGACATTATCGCTTATCGGATGGGAAACGGCTTCGTCAATTACTTTATTATTCATCCGATTCCAAGATTAGTACTAGCACACATCACCTACCGCCTGCATTAAGAATCCGCAGGCCAAGGCGTTTTCTCTGTGGCCGACTGTCCGTGGCCTGTGGCGGATGAGCTTGGAGCCCGTCGATCGACTGCCGGTGCCGGATCTCATCCCTATTCAACGTCAATTCGGCTGCTCAGTGCCTCGCCCAGACACTTCGCAGTGATGCTTCCGCGCTGCGTCCTACCCTGCAACGTGCGCACCCATGATTCGGATTCGATCGTGCCAGCTCGGATGAGGTCAACACAAACATTTCAGCTCGTTTCCGGTTTCCTCAGAAGTCAGAACAGACATAAAATACAGGCAGAATCCGGCAGCGGACACCGCGTCGGAGCAGTGAATCAGCGCCGGCGTCTAGCTCCCTCTCAGCTGTCAGCCGCTGCCTTCGCCAACACCATGCCCGCTCGCGCGGTCCTGCACTCCTGCCTTCCTGGCGCCCGACTCGCGGCCCCATGAGTATATCAGGGGAAGCTTGCGGCACCGCGAGATTTCGCGGCTCCATTTTGTCATGGCGGCACCGCGAGATTTCGCGCCTCCATTTTGTCATGGTCTTTAGGAAGATATAATAAGTACTGTACGCTCCTTATAAAAAAAAAGTACTGTGCACATGGGCGGCACGGCACGGAGAAACGGCCCATGTGCCGTGTCATGGGCCGAAGGCCTGGCCCATGGCACGGCCAGGCACGGCACGGCCGGCACGGCGGCACGCCGCGGCACGGCGCAGTGCCGTGCCAGCACGGCACGGCCGTGCCGCGTGCCGTGTCGGCACGGCACGGTGGCCAACTATACTCAGATATGTGAAATTTTTGTATTTTGGTTCATTTTGAAAACATTTTTTACAAAAAGACCCATGCTAAAACGTTTACTGAAAATAGACCATTTTTAGGCGTCTTAGAACATGACGCCAAAGTATGAGAGTCGGCGTCGACTGACACGACGCCGAGGTCTTGCCACGTCACGGACGACCCCGGTCGACGGCGACACGGTGGCGCATGGGGTCCGACACGTCGGCGGCCCAACCTCGACGCTGTGGGACTACACGCCGAGCTATTAGCACCATCCGGCGCGCGGCCTAGGTGGCCCAGCAACGCTTCGTGACCCAATATCTCGGCGCTGGGTCACTTAACGCTGAGCCACCAGACCTCGCGCGCGGCCCGACTCAACGCCGAGGTCTGGACTCTTGAAGCCGCGCCGAGGCCCCCTTCTTCTTTCTCCCTCCATTTTGAAACCACCGGCCGGCTCTGCTCTTCGGCTCCCCCCACGCCCCCACGAAACCCTAACTCCCAAAAGCGACCCTAGGAGCCCCGATCTTGTCTCCCAAAGCTTTCTCGAGGTAATGGTCCCTCCCCTCCTCCAATCTATCCACGTAGATGTGCTTGCATTATCTCTAATCATGTGGAATCATGGGTGTATGGTGTTTTGGTATATGTGTATTTGCATTTGCAAAATGTATGGCTTAGGTTGATTGAGTGCATTGTTGTTTAACTGTTTTATGTGCTAAACATGTTAGGTTAGTTTGGTTTCTAGTTATTTTGGTCATTATGGTTCTTTGTTTATTGTAGGTGTCATTAGGGTTAGTTATTTGTTGGTCATTAGGGTTAGTATGTATTTTACTTATTTGTTGGTCATTACATTTCAATTTTTTATGACTACAAATGATTATGTTGTTGGGGTTGAAAAAGATGAAACGATATATTTTAGTTTCTACTTATTAGATTGAAACTCACATGATATATTGATATGTGACACTACTTGTTGTGTGATGGCTGTAGATGGATAAATTGGTGAGGTTGCATCATGGAGGCCGTATTGTTAGGACAAGAGATGATAGTTTGGAATTTCTGGACATGTGTGAGGAGTTGTTGATTTTTTCTGTAACACCATCTTTGACCCAGTTAGTGGAGCGAGTGAAGGTTAAGTTAGGCTGGAATGAACGAGACGTGCATGTTCAGTTTGAAGGTGTCATAGATGTTGGGTCGTCGAAGGGTCCTCGGATCAAGCGGTTGCTCAAAATTACAAGCGAGACTGAATGGAATGATTACAAGGCAGTTGTATTGGCCTCAGAAGTGCGATCTTTGGATTTAGTAGTAAGTAAGGAGTCCGGCTTAGGAAATGATAACTTCGAAGCATGGCCATCTTCCCCCGCTCACATAGGTTATGGTCCTTTGTCTGAAGAAGAAATACTTGTCACACAACTAGGCTACGGTGGAGATGAGGAGGAGAATCCAGTTGCCGATGGTGAGGGCAATCATGATAGTGATGAAGAGGATGATGATTATGTAATTGGTGATGCAGAAGAAGGTTTGGACGACGCTAGCGGAGACTTTTCTATTGAGGATGAGCTTAGCAACGAAGATGATCTTAGTGGTGAAGAAGACTTTGGTGATGCTAGGGCTACGAACCGTTTTGACATGGAGATAGCTGGAGATGATGAATCCTTCGTAGAGGAGATAGCCGAAGACTCTGATGACGATCGCCCTGTTGGTCGTCTCAATTTTAGGGAAATAGAGATATTGTCTAGGGTCTTGCCTTGGAGAGATCCACTAGTTGGTGATTTCGAGGACCTTAGCCATGGTCACAGGGCAGTAGCTGATGGTGGGCCAAGTAATACAACAGTGCCTGATGTTAGCGGTTGCCTCATCATACGGAAGGGCATATTGTTTGCTACCATAGATGGGTTGAAATCATGGTTGCAAGAGTACTCCATTGTACACAACTGACCTTTTAGGGTCATCAATTCATTCAAGGAGAAGAGGTACACTGTTGCTTGTGAAGAACAATAGTGTGGTTGGAGAGTATGTGCTAGGAAGACGAAGGCAGGCAAATGGAAGATTACCTCAGTGAAGCAACCACATGTTTGTGCCACTACTGAGGCAGAAGAGAACCATCTGTAGCTCAATTCTAGGTTCATTGCAAGGCAGTTATGCCCCGTGGTGAAGCATATGCCAACCATTACGGTGTCCGCGTTGGTTGAGATCATCTTCCAACGGTACAATTACTATGTCAAGTATGGAAAAGCATGGAGGGCAAAGCAGCGTGCACTGGAAATAATATTTGGAAATTGGGAAGAAGCTTATGAGCGCCTCCCTGTAATGTTGAACGCAATGAGGGCCGTAAATCCTGGGATGCACTTCGAGTATTTACCTAAGGAGGGTGAAACAAGGAATGGTAGCCATATATTTGGAAGGGCCTTTTGGGCGTTCGGGCAGAGCATTGAAGCATTCAAGCATTGTAGGCCCGTCGTCTCAATTGACGGGACCTTTCTTACAGGGAAATTTGAAGGCACAATGCTTGTTTGTATTGGGACAGATGCAGAAGACCAGCTTGTGCCATTGGCCTTTGCGATTGTTCGGAAGGAGGACACGGATAGTTGGTGTTGGTTTCTTAGGCTAGCAAGACAAGTGGTAATTGGTCTGGGACGTGATGTTTGTGTGATATCCGATAGGCATGCTGGCATTCTGAATGTCGTAGAACAAGAGATTCCTGGTTATGGCCAAATACATCACCGGTGGTGCACCAGACACCTTGCTCAGAATCTTATAAGGCGTGATCACACAAAGGACAACTTCAAATTATTTGAGGAGGTTTGCCGGCAGCAAGAGGTGCAATTATTCAAAGACAAGCTAGATGCCCTGAAGTTAGCCACAAATGTTGATGGCAGGCAATTCTTGAGCGAGTTGATGGCATCGAAGGATAAGTGGTCACTTGCATATGACACCGGAGGTTGGAGATGGGGCTTCATGACTAGTAACATGGCAGAGATGTTCAATAGCCTTCTAAGAGGTTGTCGTGGTCTGCTTGTGACTGCTATTGCCTCATTCACCTTCTACAAGTTGAATGCTTGGTTCGTTTCGAGGAAGAAGCATGCGAGGTCTCTATGGACAACAAGCAAAGTTTGGCCACTTTTAGCATCTCAGGAACTAGCTTTCTCAAAGAAAAAGTCTAAACGACAGAAGAGTTCATGTTTCGATCCGATCAACCATGGATATGAGATTCTAGAGGGTGGTGGAACTAACATTGGTGGTGAAGACCGGGGTGCTCGAAAACATAAAGTAGTGATCAATGAGAACAAGTGTATGTGTGGAAAACCGACCATATACCATAGGCCTTGCTCCCACATGATTACAGCCTGTCGCCTTAGACGTGTTGACGCTGAGGTCCCTCCCCGTATGGCCGCGGAGTTCTCTTTGAGGAACCTAATGAGCACCTGGAATCCTCAGTTCGAGCCATTTCTTGACGAGAGTCAATGGCCTACTTATGATGGCCCCAAGTATGTGGCTGATCTTGGTTTACTCTGGAAGAGTAGAGGACCTAGGCGGCGGAAGCGGTTCATGATGGACATGGACCGAGCCACGAAAGGTAGATCAACCACGAGTAAAGTTGGGACACATTTTGTAGAGGACACCCAAAAGAGTCGTTGCTCTGGTTGCCATAAGACGGGCCACAATAAGAGAAAATGTCCTGGACTACTTAGACAACAGGTATCCACCAAGCTAGCTACTTGAATTGCTTTGTGTAATAGTGCATTGGTTTACTTTTGTTTTTTTTATTGTTATGTTACTTCGTACCACATATACATGCTTTAACTTATACTAATGCTTTGGCATTCCTTATGTTGCAGGATGGATCGGTTCCCCCTTCTTGATCCAAGGTTCGATGAGCACCACCGGGCTCGGAGGATCGAGAACGGAGAGGTATATTCAATAATTTGTATGAAACAGTGCATTGTTCATCTTTTGCTCTATAGTCCATGCTCTTTATAAAGTGACATGAACTCATACTTTTTCATGCTTGTCTTTTTTTGCAGGTTTTGAATGTGCTGAGGCCAATGACACATGAGGCCTCTACGACCATGGTCTACGACGAGAGGTACACGCCCCTCCTAAAGCTGGCGAACCTTGCTACCGTTGCTCGTGTTTGTCGTCGAGGCACGCCACCTTTCAACCCAGCGGCGCTGACGGCGTTGATAGATCGGTGGCGTCCAGAGACACATAGCTTTCACCTACCGTGCAGGGAGATGACGGTCACTCTCGAGGACGTTGCCATGATCCTTGGAGTCAAAATCCGAGGATTCCTAGTGACAGGAGACACGGAGTCTGAAGGATGGCAGCAGCGGGTTGAGCACTTCTTGAGACGTCCCCTAGCGGCAGTTGAGGCTGGCAAGAAACGGCGTAGCAGTGGGGTGTCCCTGAGGTGGCTTCGTCAGTAGTTTCAGGAGTGCCCACCCAACGTAGACGCCCAGACCGTGACATACTACTATCAGCCTACATCCTGCACATGTTTGGTATGGTTCTCTTCCCTGACGGCACTGGAGACACGACGTCCTGGATGTACATCCCGTGCCTTTGGAACTGGGAGGATGCCGGCAATAGGAGTTGGGGCTCGGCTATACTTGCCTTCCTGTACCGTCAGCTTTGCGAGGCTTGCCGCCGTCCTGGAGGCGCGCACGCTACAATGTCAGGGTGCATCACACTATTGTAGGTAATAAAGCAAAGTTGTACAAGTTTCCACTACAATTCAATGTTTTTTCTTAACAAAAGTGATTAACATGCAAGTTTCCACTCTTTCTTGCAGATTTGGATGTGGGAGAGGCTTCCAGTTGGGAGACCGCATCAGCTTGATCCCCCACAACCTTGGTTTCCTCAAGGAGACACAGTTGTCGCCCCTACCGTGGAACACCTCTACGAGCGAGCCCATGGAACTTACCACATGTCACGCCACGCGTACATTAGCTTCACCAATGAGCTGGACACCCTTTTGCCATAGCATGTAAGTTTCCCACCCTTTGGGCCTAATCGAGGATATGTGCACAAATTGAGCGTCGACTAGTTGATGACGACGTTGTGTACAGGTTCAATGGCGCCCATATCGGCGGAGGCAAGTCACGGATCTCAACTTGAGCTCCTTGTGCATGGCAGACGAGGACGTCTGGATGATGAGGACCCCCTTATATGTTTCTATGCAGTGGAGTACCATCTCCCTCACCGTGTAGCACGGCAGTTTGGTAGGCTGCAACCTTCTCTGCCCGAGGATTTCTCCACCAGTTGGCAGCTCCACAAGTATGTAACATGCAATATTTTGTTCGTTTCACATGAATGAATCATTGAGTAGGCCTTCATATTGCCGCTATGGTGTAAAATTTGCAGGTTCAGCAGACAAAAAAATAAGAAGATCACCAACTGGCAGCTGGAGCACCAGCGCTACATTGATGAGTGGATGTTGATGGAGCAGAACAACATGGGCATCCACACCGTCCATTGTGACAAGGCATTCGATGATTACCTTGTTTGGCTTGGTCAACGAACAAGGCTTCAATTGAGGCCCACTTGGACGGAGCAAGACATTGCTGACATTACGAGCAAGGATGAGGGCAACAACCCATATGACCAAGCTACCCGAGAAGGCAGGCAAGTTGAGATCGCCCCTGCGTTAGCCAGAGCTGTAAGTGACACAACTATTTCCATCTTTGAGGTCTTTACTGTGATAGAGACTTAAATTCTTGTTTTTTGCATAGAGCACGGAGATAATGAGGATAGTGGCCGAGCAAGGAAGGGCATTGATGATTCCTGTGGGCGATCCCGATGAGGCCTCCATGTTACGACAACACATTCAGGTAGCCTCCTGTCATTCAAGTGATGTTACATCTTTACATAGTTTTGCGACCAACTCCACTTACTAATAGTGGTTTCAAAATGCAGCGTGCCATGCATCGCCTCTGGAAGGTAGCTACACGCCTTGGATGTAGACATGCCCCGGATGTGGCAGTCCCACAACAGCTTGGTGCTGGACCTTCTACTGCACATGTTGGAGGGACTTCATCTTCACATGGTGCACATGTTGGCGGGACTTCTTCTTCACATGGTGCAGCAACTAGTGCAGAGGGTGGTCAAGGACATGGTCCTTATGATGATGAAGATGATGAAGGACAGGGAGAGTACTGTGAGCATGAGTATGATGAGATTGGCATGTCCCAGCTTGAAGATGCACCCCAAGGAACTCAAGGCCCCTCCGATTCTGGACGTCCACAGAGGACGCTCAGACCAGTGGACAGGTACACTCCAGGTACCTATCCGTTTGGGAGGGGAAAGCGTTACGCTCGCCGTCCACGTTAAGGTACTTGGCTCAAATTTTAGCATACACCAATTAGCTCAATATCTAAATGAACATCTTTTGATATGCTAGTTAAGTTACATCTCATTTTTTGTTCCTAACTTAGCTCAATAGCCGCTGAAAGTTGTTAAAATTTACTATTATAGGAAAAAGAGAGATCAAGGTGAAAAGGAGCATTGGAGAAGGAACGAACTAAAAGCTCCAGACCTTGTCATATGCTTCTTTTGTGCGACCTTATGTAATGTTCTATGTATCTTATGGTATGCACTATGTTTGGACTATGTTTGATATCACTATGTTTCGATGTTCAATGTGTATGTCGGTGTGGTAATGACATGGACTATGTTTGATGAAGCATATCACTATGTTTCCAGCATTGAATGTGTATTCTATGAAATTTTGTATTCTACGAAATTCTGTCAACTTGTGCACTTGTGAACTGAAATGTTCATTTCTATTTTTTTTGTGTACTCAAAGCTCGGCGTCAAATCAAGACACACCGATGGTAGGCACCTCGGCATTTAGTCAATTAACGCTGACCCCTGGCGCATACTGGAATCGGCTGGTTCGAAGCGACGAGGTGCCCAAGCTCGGCGCGTCGTAAATTGACACCGACCCTTTAGAAACGGCGTTTATTCATTTGACGCCGAGATAGGACCGTGGGCTGAATCGACGACGTCTGCGGCCCAAACGTCGACGTGGCCCGACTCAACGCCTTGGTGTTGAAACTTGGCGTGGGCCGACTCAGCGCCCATAGTGTCGGCGTGGGCCAACTCAATGCCATTCTCTTTTACCTCGGCGTGGGCTGACTCGATGCCATTCTCTTTTTTTCTTTTTTTTTCTTCTATTTATTTTTCAAAGGTACTACGATTACACACTCACATGAAAACTAACAATGGCATGTTGCAAACTAAACCTAGCATGCCTTAGGGGATTGAGAAGAACAACTCATACAAGCATTCCACATTCGAATTGACTAACAAAGGTTGGTCCTAATAACGGTCCCACATATTGAACTGAGTTGCGCCTTCCCCACAGTATCCCCCAAATGACAGAGGCGGTGGTGGTGGTGGTGGCGGTGGAGAAGGAGGCCCGTGCTTCTTATGGTACGGGCACTGGCAGTACGGATTATTACATAGTGCCTCCTCTACATCATTGCTGTTGTCGTCGTCCGACTTGTCCCTGTTACCACTTCCAGGGCCATACTCTAGGTCAAAGATGCGTCCCTGTAGATATGTGATATACTGTTGATGGGGATAGATAGGAGGAGGGTCGACCCATCTAGTGAAGCCACAGTTATCTGGACAGCTTGAATCCTGAAAACCCATCTACCAATAAGTACTACTACAAACCAAATGCAAAACTAAAAAAGGAGAGAGTTCAAAGGAAATACAAATCCTCGCGGGCATCTGAAGAAACGACGGCCTCCACCATCACAGTCGTTGTACATCTGCACAACGCAATCCAAACCGTGGCGGCATTTTGGCCAATCTTCAATGCGCTTGTCGTATGATCTAAGAGGTCTCTCACGGGTGAAGTCACTCTTCCTCTCCAAAGGAAATTCCTCTATTTGTTCTTCGAAAGAATCAGGACCCAGAGAACCCTCCCACACAATCGGAGGTCCCTTCCTCACCCCCTTTCCTCTCCCTCCGCCGAAACCCTTTCCACTCGAGGAACCTCCGCTCGACATTTGCTAAAACTAAACCAGAAAACAAGATGTGTGGATGTGGAGCAAGACATGGAGCACTATATATAGAGATGAAGGCAGGTTCACCATGAATGCTACTTGACAAAAAACTTGTGTGCGTACTCATTTATTGAATCTGCAAAGGCTAGATGCTTCATCTGAAAAGCCTACAACCATGACTGGTCATTTCATCTGAAAATGTTACACCTATGTTTTGTCACTTTATCTAAATGCAGTACATCACTCTGATATTAATTCATTGTGTATACGGATACAACAGTAAACGAATCTAGGCTTTTCAATGAGTTTTCAAATAGACTTTTCATTGACTACAACAGTACTTGTAGCCCTTTCAGTGACTGCAATAGCATAAGTAGCCTTTTCAGTGATACAAATAGTAGCACTACAGTTCTAGGATAGTTAACGAAGTACAGGGCATAAGACCATCTGAAATAAAAGCATAGTGCATTACAACATAATAAAAAAAGTCTAGGGAATAAGTTCATCTGAAATAAAAGCAGAGTGCATTACAACATAGTAAAAAAAAGTCCAGGGCTACATGACATCGCTCGTGAATAAACCAAATACCTACTGAGTGCAACGAGGCCACTTTCCCTTTCTCTGGGCATCAGGATTCTCCTCCATCGCTGCCTTCGCTCGGCGCACACGCTCAAGCTTCTTCTCCCTCTCCGCCCTGTACGTAGCAACACGCCTTCTTTCCTCCTCTTCCTTATGCTCCTTTTCTATAGCCTCCTATCTGCGTCTCTGCTCAAACCTCTCCTTAACCTCCGCATCCCACTCCTTCAGGCCTTCTAGATGCTGCTTGTCCGACTCCTTGATCTCAGTGTCAATCCACTACTCAAAGTCACACAGTGGTGGAACGGTCTGCAAGAAAAACAAATTGTTACAAAACAAATAAATAAGCAATACATAATATCACAAGAAAATTAATTAACACACAATAAAAATTTCTCACAATCGATGCACGGCGCTGTTGCTTTGTAGGTTCTCATGCATAATTGGGACACATCCAGTACCTCTGTCTATATGTTTCCACATCTTCAGAGATGTCTACCTTGTAAGGATCACCACAAAAGCACATGGGTCGAGAAACACCTTCAGGGAGAGGCTTTAGGTCGTAGGGATTTGCCCTCTGACGACCATAGCTACAATTGAAAGAATTTAGTCATATTAACGGAGAACTAAACCTAAACCTAGGGTTTTCTATTTGTTGCACAAATAATGAATAAACATTGGAATTACCTTGGAATACGAGCTTTACCACGCCTTGGCATCCTAACATTACGTAGAAAAAAATCAATCCAAAGTACCTTGCAACGAATGTAAATCTACTAACACTAAATCACCATACCTCCCAAATAAGCTTTTCATTACAAACTCGAAGCAAATTTGAATCCCAACAAACACAAAATTTAACTCAATGATTATAAACCAGAACATATACAACAACAACAACCATACATTTGGGTCATTCAATCATTTGAACCACCGTACATTGCACGAATGAATGAAATGAAAGAGGGGAAAGAGGAGTACCTTGGCAAAACATTCTAGTCATAAAAAATTGAAATGTAATGACCAACAAATAAGTAAAATACATACTAACCCTAATGACTAACAAATAACTAACCCTAATGACACCTACAATAAACAAAGAACCCTAATGACCAAAATAACTAGAAACCAAACTAACCTAACATGTTTAGCACATAAAACAATTAAACAACAATGCACTCAATCAACCTAAGCCATACATTTTGCAAATGCAAATACACATATACCAAAACACCATACATCCATGATTTCACATGATTAGACACAATGCAAGCACATCTACGCGGATAGATTGGAGGAGGGGAGGGACCATTACCTCGAGGAAGCTTCGGGAGACGAGATCGGGGCTCCTAGGGTCGTTTTTGGGAGTTAGGGTTTCGTGGGGGCGTGGGGGGAGCCGAAGAGCAGAGCCGGCCGGCGGTTTCAAAATGGAGGGAGGAAGAAGAAGGGGGCCTCGGCGCGGCTTCAAGAGTCCAGACCTCGGCGTTGAGTCGGGCCGCGCGCGAGGTCTGGTGGCTCGGTGTTAAGTGATCCAGCGCCGAGATATTGGGCCACCAAGCGTTGCTGGGCCGCCTGGGCCGCGCGCCGGATGGTGCCAATAGCTCGGCGTGTAGTCCCACAGCGCCGAGGTTGGGCCTTTGGCGTTGGCTGACACAACGCCGACGTGTCGGACCCCATGCGCCACCGTGTCGCCGTCGACCGGGGTCGTCCGTGACGTGGCAAGACCTCGGCGTCGTGTCAGTCGACACCAAACCTCATACCTTGGCGTTATGTTCTAAGACGCCTAAAAATGGTCTATTTTCATCAAACGTTTTGGCATGGGTCTTTTTGTAAAAAATGTTTTCAAAACGGACCAAAATGCAAAAATTTCACCCTCAGATATCTGACTATTTATTCCCTGGCAATCATGCGTTCGAAAATATGGATTTAGAGTCTGCACAGAACGCTCTTTTCAAATAAAAACCTAAGGCCATGTTTAGTTCCCACCAAACTTCTGAAAAATACACTATGTAAAAAGAAGATTCTCCGTCACATCAAACTTGCGGTACATGCATGGAGTACTAAATGCAGACGAAATCAAAAACTAATTGCACAGTTTGATCGTACTTTACGAGTCGAATCTTTTGAGCCTAATTAGTCAATGTTTAGACAATAATTTACAAATGCAAACGAAACGCTACAGTAACACATTAATTATTTGTCCACTCCTAAATCCGGGAACTTAAAAAAAAGCCTAAATTTGGTGAGACGAATCTATTATATTATAGGGGTGTCCAGACGGCCACGGCCCACGGCATGTTCTTTGTCGGGATTACAGCCAAGGCAGAGTTTCAGCTATCAGTGGTCAGCATCGTCAGGGACGCCGCCTTGGCCCGGAGCGTCGCTGTGTTCCTACCTGCTCGTGCATGTGAACTCTGGAACATAACAAAGTCTCGTCGCGCCAGACGCTCATCGTGGTGGTCACCAACTCACCACTCACCACTCACCACTCACCACTCACCACCAAGAGTCCGGGACGTCGCGGGGGCTCCAGCCTCCAGGCCCCGATCGGCTCTGTGGTCCAGGTAAGGCCTTTGTTCGGTTAGCTAGGAATTAAACGTTATATAAATTAGTCAATCTTTTCTGCTAGGAATTGTTTCGGGGCATGGTTTCTGGATAACCAAACGATGCCTAGGATACAAGTGGTATCTAATTGTGTTTTTTTGGTGAGTTGATTAATTACGATCAAATGTTATTCCAGTTTATTTTTTCCCTCACTCAAATTCCATGAAATATCATGTTAGTTTATTTGATAAAGTTTTCAGGTAGACTCGATGATCCAATATAGTTAGAACTTGTATCCTTAGCAGGGAGGGTATACTGTCGGCCTCGTCCACTTCCCATCCTCCCAGGGTTTCAATATATAGCTGCGAGAGAGCACAAAAGTTTCACAAAAAAAATATGGCAATATGGGCTACGGACAATGACTATACTGCACAACCTGTGTGCCGCGTTTCAATGCATCGTTCGTAATTTTAGAACAGTTGATAGGATATTACAAGGTAACTGTAAATGACATTTTTTTAATGAATCGGGTAGGACGACTATATTAAAAAAGAAGAAGCCTAGACTAGGTAGTACAGCAAAACTACAATGGCCTCGTTCGGCTGGGGCTAAAAAAGCACTGTGCACGGATGGTTTCTACTGTTCACGGATGGTTCTCTCTTATAAATTTTTTCAGATTTCTTCAAATTCCTCCAAGCGAACAGGGCCAATGATCCTAAAACAGGGGCGAAGCTAGGCCCCCTTATTGGGCTAGCTGACCTTGACGGTTACTAAACAAGTCGTCATAGATATATCACCTAATGAATGAATCGTCATAAACAATAGAATTCTATGATGGTTCCTTAGAACGTCACCAATAAACTGTCATGTAAAGACTTATTCCTTTTAGTGACAATCAAAACAATAAAACAAATTGGTCGGCTAGAATGGGACATCAACACACGCTGAAGACACATGAACTCGCATCTACCACTAGTGTATATTGATGACCTGACCCTCCAAAAACTCCCCTAGATAGCTAGTCGATAGCCACACATCTTGTAATGTCAAAATCGTCAAGACGAAACACCAAAGTCACCACTTGCACCATCGTTCCCAACGTTGTCCCACACCAAGGTAGCCTCTGCCAAGTAGAACTGGTCACCGCAATCCACTGCAAGCCGGGTAACTGTCACGCTATCAGATTCGCTTGCACCGTCTCATGACATTGTCCTACACCAAACTATCGTCCTCAACTGCCGGTCAGAAGCTATACTCTCAAATCGCTACGCCAATACCTTCTTTCTAGCCCTTTTCAAAAATACCTTCTTTCTCGCCGTTTTCCACCACCATGGACATCTGCTCCTCGAGTCCTCAACATATTCCTCCTCTTTAGACTTCGCCGCCGTTATCATCAAAGGAAGATCGCCGCTTCACCGGCCTCGGGCGAACCACACATGTAGTCGTCGTCGCTGCTCGTGCGGCCAATGTACTAAGCGATAGTTCGAGTGTGCTGTTAGCCGGTTACGTACGTGCGTCACACATAACATCAGTCCTGTTCACAAAATATGGCTGGCTACTACTGCACCTTCAATGCTGCTGTCAGTTTGTTGTTGTAGCACATGCGGACGCTGGATTTGTACAAACATTTCCATAAATTTGGAAAAAAAGGATTTAAGTCTTCTTACACTTACTCTTCCCCAATATACGTAGGTAGAGGAAAAAAGAGTATATGCATGGATCGTGTCTTGAGTGGGTGAGTCTACTCCCCTACTAGATGCATGGCTAGTGGCACGAAGAATTGACACGATCGTATCAGCCATACTTATCAGATATGATATAGTGTTTTTCTCTCGCGACAAAATAGTATTAGCCGGTTTATAAACCATAGAAATGATGGAGAGAACAGGTGAAGATCCCCTAGTTTCGTTGCCAATGGCTTAGCTGCCGTGGTTTTGTGCAGAAAAGAGTAGAGTACTTACTCGGACATGGACTAGACAGTAGTATGCCTCCGGCCAAATCACAAACATTGCACGACGAATGCATCGTCAAGTTGTATGTTATCAGCGGCGTTTCTGTCCGGCACACTTAACTCTCTTCGCGATGCGTCCACGGCACCTGCACCTCGCCACTGGACCGGTGACGGTTCATTGCCTCGCTCGTTTTGCACATGCAAATCCTTTCGATGTCTAGAGCATTCGTTTTGTCGTAATAAGCCTTGTTTAGTTCTCCAGAAATGCACTATGTAAAAAGAAGATTTTCCGTCACATCAAAATTGTGGTACATGTATGAAATACTAAATATAGGCGAAATCAAAAACTAATTATACAGTTTGCTTTAACTTTGCGAGACGAATCTTTTGAGCCTAATTAATTAATGTTTGGACAATAATTCATAAATATAAACAAAATGCTACAATAAAGAATTTTTTTACTGTGCAAAGTTTGCACCTCCAAAGTTTGTCGAACTAAACGGCTCTAAACAAAAAGACGGCAGTGCCGCGTGCAGGAGAAGGCACGCCCGGGCGCGGCCGCAAAGATACACCGTCGTCCTGGTCCTGGCGACGTCAGTCAACCGTAGCCAGGAGCCGCTAGGCGACGCAAACGCCTTTGAAATGGGGCGACGGCCACCTTATCCTACGTGGTTTCTTTACTGTTTCTTTATTGCCAGTCACTACCCAGTACACGAACCTTCCCCGTTGTTTACGCTCGCATTTGCTTTGGCCCCCACATGAATCTCTCATCAAAGTCAGATTGACACGTGCACAACCACAACCAAAAGGAGACCAAAAGAAAGAAAGAAGGGAACTGCATGATTTGCAGTCCCTTTAGAGTAAGTAACCTAGCAAGCCTTCACTAGAGCCTCGTTTAGATTGTAAATTTTTTAACCCGAACACTGTAGCACGTTTCGTTTGTATTTGACAAACTTTGTCCGATCAAGAACTAACTAGGCTTAAAAGATCCGTCTCGTGATTTACAATCAAACTGTGTAATTAATTATTTTTTTACCTACATTTAATGCTCTATGCATACGTTCAAAAATTGATGTGATGGAGAGAGAGTGAAAAAACTTAGAATTTGGAGATGATCTAAACAAGGCTTACACCTCCAAATTCCAAGTTTTTTCACTCTCTCTCCATCACATCACCTCCAAATTCTAAGTTTTTTCACTCTCTCTCCATCACATCAATTTTTGGACGCATGCATAGAGCATTAAATGTAGATAAAAAAAATAATTAATTACACAGTTTGGTTATAAATCACGAGACAAATCTTTTAAGCCCAGTTAATCCATGATCGAACAAAATTTATCAAATACAAACAAAACGTGCTACAATATTCAGATTGCAAAAATTTATAATCTAAACAAAGCCTTGGTATAATGGCTTGGCTTTATCGGTGTGACTGGTTGTATGTGCATGACATGCAAAGAGCAGGCGCACAGCGAATGGGATTCATCGGTACAAACTACAAAGCAAAACGTCAGTTTTCCGGTCACCTCGGCTGGGAGCAGGCGTTTTTATCTCGTGGGACGTGCTAGGCTGGACGGTAAGCGAAGCGTCGGCTCATGTCTCTCTCTTTCATTCTCTCTCATCCAGCGAGGATTTTTCTGACGTGAACTCGTATACAGCCCGCTTACGTGGCTTTATTATACTTGCTCTTAATGAGAGAATACGTAGTTGACGGTAAACAGTTCGTCAGGAAGAAATGATGATTAACGAGCGCAGATCATCTAGTCTAGCTTAAAGCTGACGCTCGCAGGATAATGCTTCTCCCACTCACGTCGATTCGTGACAGCAAAAAGAGAGGCTACCGTCTCGAAATCAAAAGAAGAATGGACACGAGGTGTAGCTAAAGAACGGCCGGGAAACCAGAGAGAGAGAGCCCCCGCCGCGGTTCTCTGAATTCTCTTCTATTGTCGTCAGTTATCACTCCCACAAAATCTACTTACGGACCAAACAAATCAAGCTTTTTGCAAAAGTAAAACGTAAAAGCTGAAAAAAAGTTCAGAAAATCAAGCCGCTACCACGAAATATTCCTAATAATAAACACAGCGAAGCGAACGGGGCCTTTACAGGGCAGCATTCCGGCCGCCGCGGTGGCGCCGCCGCCAAGAGTGGCCTCGATCACGGCCGGCCCGCCGGCAGCGGCGAAGCCGCGCCCTTCCTGCTGCATTCGCCGTCGTCCCTTCCCCTCCTCGTGGACCCGTCCCACCCGCCGCCGTCGCCGCCGCCTCGCGCCCAGGAGACCGTCCTGGCCAGGAACGACTGCCACCGGCGCCCGCCGTGGCTGCTCCCGCCGTGCCCGTTGCCGTTGCCGAAGCCTCCTCCTGCTCCTGCCACGCGCCGTCCGCCTCGGGAGCTCCCCCCCTCGGAGCTGAGCTCCGAGAGGTCGAGCAGGCTGGTGGCGTGGCGCAGGCGGCGAGACCGGAGCACCTGCTCCCGCACGTGCTCCGGCAGCCGCAGCGTGAACCTCTCGTGGTCGCCCTCCTCCGCGGCGGCGGCGGCCGCCGCGAAGAGCGAGTGCCCCGTCGAGTGCGACCGCGGCATCCTGGCGCCGCGCCGCGCGCTGCGCAGCATCTCCAGCTCCATGGCCTCCTCCTTCCTGTCGTCCTCGTCGTCGCTGTCCTCCTCCGAACCCTCGTCCAACACCGGTATCGCCACGGCCTCCGGCGGCGGCGAAGGCGAAGGCTGCTGGCGCGGCGATAGCGCCACCGCCGCCGGCGGCGGCGCCGGCGACGGCGACGGGGGCGCCACCGCCGGCAACGGCAACGGCACCGGCACCGGAGCCGGCGCCGGCTTCTCGAGGTTCGCGCGGCAGAGCGGGCACGTGACCCGCGACTGCAGCCAGGGGTCGATGCACTCCGGGTGGAACGCGTGGGAGCAGTGCGGCAGCAGGCGGAGGTCGTCGTCGTCCTCGAACGCCGTGAGGCACACCGCGCACTCCAGCACGCCCTTGCCGATCTTGTGCTCCACGACCTCCCTGTAGGACACGATGGGAAACGTGGCGACAACCGCGGGGTCCAGCCCGCGTTTCCCCCTCCTGGACGGACCCCCGCCCCCGGCGGCCCCGGCTGCTGCTGCCGCCGCCGCCGCCGCCGCCCCGGGGTCGGCGAGGCGGCACTGGTTGACGTAGGCGCAGATGAAGAGCAAGAAGAAGAACACGCTGATGGCCACCGTGATGAAGGTCGACATGGTGCGCCCGAACGGCGTTGGCTGCGGCGGCGCAGGAGGCGTCCGCTGAGGCGCCGGCGGCGGCGAGAACGAGGACGAGGACGACAACGGCGAAGAAGACTGCGCGTCGACGACGGCCATGCCGGCGCGGAGGAGGCAGAGCACGAGGAGGAGCTCCCGTGTCCCCATCGCTCCTCGCGAAGCACGCACGCAGAGGCACAGAATTGGGGAAAACGGCACCACTACTGCCGCCGGTCTGTCTGCTCTCTGCTGTGGAGCGATTCTGCTTTGACGACACGAGAAAGTGAGAAACCGATTGCTGTTGCTAGACGCGAGTGGTGCTGCGGATGCCTACATCCCACGTCAGAGTTGGGCGAATTACCTGCCCCCTGCAGCCCTGCTCGGTTGCTCCTCTCTTTCTTGCCGATCCCTGCGCTTTGCTCTCTCGGAGGCCTCGTTCACTGTAAATAGTACCACCTTCGTTTTATTTGGTAAATATTATCCAATCGTGGATCAACTAGGCTCAAAAGATTCATCTCGTGATTTTCAACTAAACTATGTAATTAGTTAATTTTTTACCTATATTTAATACTCCATACAAACAGTTAAAAATTGATGTAACGGAAAAAGAGTGAAAAAACTTGAAATTTGGATGGCATCTAAACAAGGCCCAAAGTCCAAACTCGCTTCCCCCCCTCCCAAATTCCCTGCATGAATTCTGAATGGATCTTTTTGACCAATTTAGCGGACACTACGTCACTCTGATGTGTGCGACTGTACCGAAGCAGCGGCGGATGTCAGGCAGGCGTGTGTTGAGTGTTTGACACCGTGAATATTATGAGGTTTCGGGGGTTATCAAAGCAGCGGTGGAAGGAGGTGACAGGCAATGCATGAAAGGGCTCGAAATACTAACTCAGGTGGACTGCCAGCACGTTCACTGGTTGGTTTCAACCAGAACTTATCAGTCAGCTAATAGTGTTTTTTTTCACGACAAATCAGCATCAGCCGAGCTTATCAGCTCAGATACCAGTCAGCAACAGGATGTGCAACCGGTCTCTTTCAGCGCACAATCATGAAACAACTCGCACCATCACCATCCTCGTGGCGAGAATGTGGAGCGTAGGACAAACAGTATCGAACAGCATCGTTTCCGCCAGCGTGCAGCCGCTGTACCTGTCGTTTCCGCCAGCTGCAGGTAGTTAGACCAGGAACACGAAGATCACAAGAACATACATTAGTTCTCAATGTGCTTCATCATGCCACGGACCTGGCAATATTAATCAGATATGAATCTTGCCAGAATAACGTGCAGATTGCTTGGGTGGTCCATCATTTATTCCTTCACATTACACAAACGAACACAGGTCGAAAGAAACTCATAATCACTCAACCACAGGTGCCCTGCTAGTCAGTATACAACTCTTTTGCAGCATCAGTTCCCTAAACCTATCTGCCGCGTCGGTGAGACCGGCACCCAGAAGGGCGTCCAAAAGCCTGTTGCAGGCAGAGATGTCGAACTCGGGGGCTTTAGAACGCTGCCACTGGTCAACGATCTCTCCGGCATCCTTCAGCTGCCCGCACAACAGGTAGGAGGAGAGCACGCAGATGTAGTTCCGGCTCGTCATGCGCTGCGAAGTCATTACCATGGATTTCCAAATGTCCTTGATCCTCTCTTGGTTGCCAAGGCCGGTGTGCAAGATGACGAGGAAGTCATAGGTTATCCACTCCCTCTGGCTGATCTTGGCCTCGGCCTCCACCAGTGAGTTTCCAGAGACCACAAGCTGGCTCGCATCGACGTATACAGAGGCGAGGTTTCGGTACAGTGTCCACCCTTCTTTGGAGTTTGGATCTTTGGACATCTCATCGAGAATTCCTTTGAAGCCCTCAAGATCCATGGACGCAGCAGCTGCACTGACCCGGAGATTGTAAGTGAAGAGATCTGGAGAAACGTTTTGCCTTTTTAGTTCTTCTGCAATGATCTCCACTTTATCAAGCTCCCCAACAGAAATATACAAGGTCATCATCTCATTATAAACCAGGGCATCCATAGACAGGTTTGCATCCTTCATTCTCTCAAACAGCCTTTCGGCTTTATCTGTCATCTTTGATCGGCCATAAGAATGGAGAAGAGCTGTGTAGGCTTCCAGCGATTTGGCTCCAGGTGGAAGCTTCTCAAAGAAATCTTCAGCAGCACTAGCACCAAAAACTTTGGTAATCAAGTCAATGCACATTCCATAGTCACTCTCAGATAAATCAGACTCATGATGTGTCTTCATCCAGTCTGCTACCTGTAAAATGTGCAATTAATACTTAATAGTTGATGCTGCAATTTGTTTTTTTTTCTAGATATAAGGGGAAAGGTACCAACCACCATTGACAAAATGTAACTCTTGCTAGGGTATCAGCATAAACAACCAAATAAAATAAGAGGAAAGGAATATGTGCTATTAGCTTCGCCAATGTAAAAGTCTGGCAGATGGCATCTTTCAGGGTTAGCGATAGTTCTCATACAACACTATCCAATCTCAATGACACAAGCCCATTTGGCAAAAGAATGTAAAGATAAGATGGCTCATCATGTTGTAAAAATATAGAAACATAATAGCTAGTATCAGCTAGCATTAAAATGGCACAAAAAGGAATACTTGAGACAAATTCAATTAACGAAATGTTAATTACTTATTATACGATCATAGCTGCAACCTTTGCCATCATGCCAGTCTTAAAACTGGATGAGCATCTTCATAGGCACCCTAATCAATAACAGCCAATAAGAAACAAAGCTACAGCACATGGATACAGTTCAGATGCTACATAGAAAGTTAGAATAAGCTGGAGTAAGAGTGTCCAGTGTTAACATTGCGCTCTGTCAAATGTTCAGATTTACCCACAACAAAACCTACTTAGAAAAGCTCGAGCTGTTAATGGAACCAGAAGCATCTGCAGCAGCACTAGAAGCCAGTAAAGAGCCAACCAAACCATCTTAATTATTTAGCTAGATAAACCTACATCGCGTGCACATAAAAAATTCGTTTATACAGATTTTATTCAGAGGGACTCATATCATAGCCGGCTACGCTTTGGAGACAACAGTGATGCAAAATTTTTGCCTATCATGGGTGAAGCATTATTAATAGAATATGGCAATAATTTGGAACTTTCCCATTTATGCTTTTCTTGTTTTTGGCCTTGCGGTTGGCCTTGGTAGCTATTGCTAATTTTCTACATTAAGTACTCATAATTTTGGGCTCATGCTTTTTTATTGAAAAAGTAGGTAAGCCGGAACCTTCCATTATTTTATAAAAAATTAACCATTTCCACAACCAAAAAAAAAAAAACAGAACAGATCAGATCAAAGTTCATTGCGCAGCACAGACAAGGTACTCAATCCCGCATCCACGAGGTCTATGGCAGGCAGAAGCGCAGAGCAATAAGATGGGGCCAGGACTGGGACTTTGCAGGTGACCGAACCTCGAGTGCGTGCTTGTAGCGACGGACGCGGCTGAGGTCGCGTGCGATGCGTCGGAGCTCCGCCGCGGGTGCGGCGCGACCCTCACTGGACCACTTATCGAGCGCCGCCGTCGCGCTCCGCTTCGCCAGGCCCAGCCGGAAGATGCGGCTGCGCAGGTCGTCCCCATCGTCCTCGCCCGTGGCCGCGACCTCGCGGTCGTCCACGGCGGTCGCGGGAGCAGCAATCGTCGCGGCTTCAGATGAGAAGAGTCCGTGCCCCGCGAGGACGAAGCGGAGGTGGAAGCCGGAGCCGGATCGCTTGGCGCGGGCGCCGGCTCGGGTAAGCACCGCCGCCATCTCGCTGCCCTGTGCGGCTGTGCCCCCGTTCGAGCAAAACCGTGCCAGCTGCGAGATGCACAGTGTTGCTGTCTTGCAGGGCCGAGCCGTTGTATGGGCTGAGCCGTGCTTTACAAACTTGGTCAGTGTGGGCCTCAAAGTTGGGCTGGACTCCAACCACAGTTTCGGCACTTTCAGTCACTTGGCGCAGACCAAAATCACTGAACTCTACACCCTCCGAAAGTTTATCCTAAGTAAAATTACGATAATTTTAATTACAATTATAAAAAAATAAAAATATTAGTTTCAATACCAGATTAGAATTATTAGATACGTTAGGAAATATATTTACATGATTTATTTTTTTTGTATAATATATATTAATACTCTTCTCTATAAATTTGGTCGAACTTCGCATAGTTTGACCTAAAACAAACTTTTTTATATAACAAACTTGGATCCATTTTATGTTAGGATAGAGTGAGTGTGTAAACAAGTGATTCCACGCTGAAAGTGAACCAAAATAAGTTAGTTTCCATCTTTGGGGCCCATAATTACTCTAGATAATCAGTCTATAACCATGTTTCGAATATTGTTTGGTAAAACTCCTATTTGAATTGGCTTAGGAGCCACTCTAGTGCGGTCAAACTTTAAAATTTGACTTAAGACAACTCTAGAAGTTTATTTATTTAGGTATGAGGTGAGTAGTCAGGGAGTATCTGCTAAGGAGGTGTAAAAATGAGAGAGAGAGAGAGAGAGAGAAGAAAATAAAGTGCAATACATTGGACAACAGGCGATTGCTTAGAATTTTTTGGATCCGTTGCTTATTTTTGCGCCTGGTGCAAGGATAAACAAATAATATTTGCCACCAATCATTCTCTTTCCATCCACCATCTATGTTAAGTTAGAGAGAATTAATATAATATATACATTTTATTACATGCAGAGTCCACCTTAGTATGCACTAACTGATTTATATATTAGAGCTTGTTTAACTAGTAGAACACCTTGTTGTGAGATGGCTAACCATGTATTATATGGAGTCCAAGATGTCCCACACTCTACGACGTGCTCATGGTCTTTGTGCTCTTGTGTATAGTGCATATCAAGTGTCATGTTTGTTTACCAAATAGACTAAGTTGCCAATGATTAGAGTAATTTGGACTTTGAGTGCCACACGCACATCTAACAAGTCTAGAAATTAGATGTGCATTTTAAGAGTACAAGGACATGTTAACAAGTTTAAGGGTCTCTGGTGTATTTTAATCTATAGTTAATCTCTAAACTAGAGAAATATCATAATTAAAATGAAGTAAGAAAGGAAAACATGTTAACTTACCCTTCTAGTTTATACATACATCATACTACAATTTCTATCCTCTCATAAATCCTCTCTCTCTCTCTCTTAAAAAAAATCCGTTACTGGCTTTCATATGTGAAAAAAGAACCGTCACATACAAACCAGCGGATGCTAGTTTTTTCTACCAAATCCTCTTTATCATTGGTTAGAAAAAAAGGATTGTGTTTTTCAATCTGGTGGAGATGCTGAGTGCAAAGAAATATTTATGAGTTCTTCGTGTCACAGCCTGAGTCACTCGTCAACCCTGATTCTAGATACTACTCCAACATAATTACGAGTATGATCAACATGAAGATTGGACCTTAGCTGCTAGCTGACGTTTATAAATCTTCTCAACTTTTTTCTTCTTTAACGCCTTACTTTTCAGCCGCATAATTACGAGTAATTCACACACTAATAACAGGAAAATCTGATGGGCCCTCTTGATTATGAAGCCACTTGACTAGCTGGCGGCGTTTGCCATGGTTTTTGTTAGCAGCGGCATTGTTTTCTTTCCCGTTCTCGCCTTCTCGGTTAAAAGGAAGACACGACGCGCAACGCAACGCTAGGCACACAGATCACGCTCACACATCACTAATTGCAGGTGCAGCAGCCAAACGTTCTCAACACTGAACGCACTCATTCTTGTATGCTTGTGCAAATACATCGGGGCATCCTAACAATGATTTTGATTCATTTCGAAGATCAATGAAACAAGATGGGTGGTTCATGCTATGAGGGAGTTTATAAGTAGGAAAAAGTTCCCAGAAATGAGAAATTGCGAAGAACTGGAACTCTTATTAAACTTTCTGATTGATTAGAACATGCTGTAAATTCGTGGATTTTTCATTACTGCAGCATGTTTAATTTGAGCCCATGATCTCAGTATCAGTTGACGAATGTTCCCATATTTCCCTCTCAATCTTGTCAAGGTAAGTGAGCATAGTTTGGAGACCCTTCTCATCTGCGAGTACAAGCATAGCGAGATTTATCAAGAGCAAAATAATAAGAAAAAATCATTTAGGCTTATGAACAAAGTCTAATCATTCACGGACGTCTTAATGCTGTGACTGTTTATGCTGAATTTGTGGGATTGAGAGTTTGAGACAGAACCAAAATCTTTAGAAGGTACTAGGAGAGAGTAATCTGATCTCACCAAGTTTAGGAACAGTGTGGCCGCAGGGATGACGTATAACAAGTGGATCCGCAAATGCTTGTACAAGCTCTTCGCTGTGAACCTTCACAAAGTCCTCGTCACCTGCACAGAATTAATTACTTGTCGTGTTCGAAAGAGAGGATGCTTGGAACATATGAATTTTACATTAAATTGTTTGACAGTCCTGCAGAAACTAGTCAAAAAGTTCAGTCCGGCGTTCACGATCAGTTTCCGTTTCCACTATATATCTCAATTTAACAACGCTAGAGACCATAAAAATGTACGAAGACACCCAAGAATAAGCAGATTTGTGATCTTCTACATACAAAGTGCATGAAACAGAATGCAAACGTACCAACGAAGTGAAGGGATGGGCAGGTGATCTTGCTGTCAAACGCCCTCGCGACCGCCACCGGCGCCCTGATCTTCGCCCCGGCTATAACTATCACGCACTTCACCTTAGCAACCCCAGTGAAGGCCAGAAAAAATTGCAAAAATGACACTCGAAAATTACGATGACACGCGGATGGATGATAAATGGGCCTATGAATGTGGGTCCGGTGTCAAATCTGTAAAGGCCCAGCCCTGCCGGAAAACGGAAAACAGTGTGTGCACATGAAAATGAAGTCGTGACAGGCAACAGCCACCACGCACTCGCTTTACCTGCTGCTGGAGCCCAGCAAGCGCTGCAGACAGGCCGGCGCCCTGGGAGAAGCCCAGCAGCCCATCGAACGGCCCATCTCTGGACATCAGCTCCTCGAGGTAGGAGAAGCACCCGTCCAGGTTCCTGCAGCTGAGGAAATCCTCGCCGACGAACTGGCACCACTCGTAGTAGGGCGGGTCGAAGTCGAGGACGCCGGCCACGGGGGACGCGCCCTCGGCCGGGAACGGCGCGTCCGCGAAGACGAGGTCCAGGCGCACGGTCACCTCGGGCGCCCACCTGCCCACCACCTGCCGCCGCATGATCTCCCCGCTGGTGCGGAACCCGTGCAGGCACAGGAACCGCGGCCGCCGCGACGCCTCCCGCTCCCCGCCGTCCTGAAGCCACGGCATTCCTCGTGGTGGCCGCCAGCTCGGCCCGAATGTAGGCGCGTCGGCGGACTCGGAGGCCCTGACGCCGTGCTGCACGCGGCGGTGGCTGTCGCGCAAGGGACAGGACGACGCGTCGACGCGGCGAAGGCGGGTAGGTGCCGGGGCAGCGTTGACCGTGGATCAAGGACGGATGGAGCCTTGGATGAGACGAGCCGCCGCAGCTGGCATCTCCTTGGAGGAGGGATTGAAGGTGCCACTTCCATTGGAAGAGGGAAGCTCTCGGTCTCAGTGTTCTACGTGATTGATGAGCAGGGGATTAATCAGCCATAATTGGGGTGGATCTTAAGCTGGCAGGCACGGCGACGATGCTAGTTCATTCATTGCAGTGGAGGACGGTTCCATCCAACACCAAACCAGAGTAAATGATTCCAGGATGTGGACCGTCCAAACCCAAAAACTCCAGATAGTTTCTATATTCATAGTCATATAAACACTACACAAAAAATAATATTATGAACAGACTTTTGTCCAATTATATGTCTTCTCTTTTCTATCATCCATCTATCACATGTCTTTCTATTTTAGCTCTCGTGTAGACATAATTGTCTTCAAATCCGACTTATTCGGCTTCTTTTTTCAACCGAAATAGTATTTTTCTCTCACAACAAATCAGTCGGAACAGTGTTTTGCCTTCTTTTTTCAGACAAGCGAACGGAGCCATAGTTTCTTATATAAGAAATTATTTTCTCTCTCTTTTCTCTAATTCCTCGTCTCCACTGGTTGATCTTTTCCTATTCACAACAAAGACCGTAGCTCGTACCAATGACCTTACGACACTCCAAAAATTGGGTGTGCACATGCGCCTAGCTGTATAGGAGCAAAGGTGCAAGAGTAACAAATGTTTCACCATAAAACTTGACGCTATCACAAAGTCCTCAATATCAAATTTGGCACACCAGTGGTCACTCAAAACTCAGTTAACTCAAACCATACTCGCTAATCCAAAGTATACATCACATTTCACACAAATCCCGTAAAGAGAGGATTGGAAGAGCTCGCAAGGCTATTATGAAGTTATGGTAATGCTAGAAGCATCGGTAAACCTCCAAAGACGGCAAGATGAGTATATATATAGCCACCCACATAAAATAGCCGTTAGAGGCTCAATCAAACAAAACTGCCCTGGACAGTTTCTATTAGAATTAGCTATTACTATTCTAACAGGGCCAAAACTAGTTGTGCGGGTTTTCCCAACCTATGCCCTATGCCCACTAAAAACTAGATTCTAGAGTTAAACACTTGGGATTTCTCTTATGAGTTTTTATCACTTTTTTGCCACATCTAGCACTTAATGTTGCATCCACGACGTACCTAAACACAATAGATCAAAGATACACAATTTGGATCCCACTTGAGCCTTATTTCTTAAATTGTGCAGATACTCTAATCTTCATCACTTGAAATTGAAAATCATCAACACTACCACTGCTATGAGCATAACATCATTGAGTTAGTGACTTAGGACCTTTTCGACAATATGATCAAGACCACACTTATGATCCATAAGCCACTCTTCATATCATTCAATAACGATTTGATCATCCATATATTGTGACCCATCATATCTTGATTTGTTTGTTGAAAATACAAGTACTTTCTTTTCCACCTTAGCAATAGTGCCTCAGCTGTGAAGCCCTTGCTTGTCCTTCACCTTCACTTCGTACCTCAAAATCGTTTCCTTGTTATCTTCACCCTATCAATCTATTTTCAAGTCACACTAAGTCTTAGACATATATTGAATTCCATATCCTCAATATCATAACTTTCGCTTGAATGCCATTCTTGATGTGATTTGGAAAACCCTTCACATGAGACAAATCCATATGCAATCACTTATATCTCAATCTTCATTTAATAAGTATATTTGCCATTTGATCAATTTTGTAATACCAATTATATCAAACCACAATATAGATAAGCTTCACATGAGAGACAAATAAATATTCATCAAACTCCATCTCCTTTGTCATTTCCATTGTATGCTTGTTGATTCTTCATTTCAGCAAATTAATCTGTAGACTCAATTCAAATTTGCATATCATTTGTCTTATTTGAGTCAATAAACAACCTGGACCAAACACCCGAACACGATCATATCAATTTTGTTAGTCCCTTAATCGTGTTTTCATTCAATCCACCAAAATCTATTTGGGACAATATGCACTTTTAATTTGTCATGGTGAAGAAGAAAAAACATGTTCCATCAGAAGAGATAATGATCGCAACAACATGACTTATAGTACTCTCTCCATCTTGAAATATAAAGGGATTGAGGTTTGTTCTAACTCATAACTCAAACTATTGCAACTCTAACCAAACTTATAGAAAATAAAAATAACATTTGCCATACCAAATTAACATCATTATATATATTATGAAATGTAGGTTTCATAATCTACCTTTTTTGTCACTAGTACAAAAAAACATTTTTACAGACAACACCTTTTGCATGTGTACTGGCGTTTTTGTGAACCACCATGTGAAAAGCCAGTGCATTTTTCACTAGCGTCACCTGAAAAATGCCTGTGTAAATGATTTACATTGGTGGCATGATTACAAAAACGACTAGTCTAAATAATTTCCTAGAATTTATAAGTTAGGACAAAATAGCAGAAAAAACCCAGGAAAAGCCCGCTAGCCATTCCCTTATCATTGCGCCTCAGAGTCACTAGTGACTAGGTGGCCCATACATTCCTTTTGTATTAACTTTAGCGAATATTGTAATGCACATTTGAGACCCTAAATTAATTCAAATGAAAAAAGTTTGAACCAAAAAGTTTAGATTCCTTCGAGTAGTACAACTTTGGTTTTTGTCATTTCTCCATCTGAGGTCATCTGAAAAATTCATTAATCTTAAACATAATTTTTGAACCCTAAATAATTTCAAATAAAAATGTAGTTAACTAAGATGTAGATCTTTTTGAATACTACAACTTTGGTTTAGGTCATTTATCCATTCGAGATCATTTCAAAAAAAATAATTTTAAATTATTTGTACCAGCAGTCGGTTAAGAAAGCCGCCAGTGTAAACACATCTATATTGGAGGATTTTCTTAAGGACACTGGCGGTAGGCTTACAACAACCGCTAGTGTAAATAGGGGATTTCTACTTGAGTTAGCCATGGGCCCACATATCTATTTTTGTTGATGTCTATTATTTATGAACCGCTAGTGAAAAAAATCTCTACCAGTGACAAAAAAAACGTTTATGTACTAGTGGATGTTGCATATATTAATAATATGCTTTACAAACTTAGTCAAAATTAAGATAGTTTGACTTAGGATAAATGTCAATCCTTTATACTTCGTGTTCCTGATGGAAGGAGTATACATTACCTCCTTTTAGTTGGGGCCTCTGTCCTTCGAAAAGGGTTATTATTTTTGTTCAGAAAAGAGGGAAGAGGGAGCTTATTATTAAACTTAGGAGGGTAAAGGCAAGTTTGCAAGCTGAGCATTACTATTAGGGACCGATTGGATCCCTTCATTTTAGACGAATTGGAATCTGCTTTATCGATTAGTCTATTTTGTTTGGAATTTGACATTCCACAACTTTTCCAAGCTCACAAATACGCCTATCTCAAATTCACAGGGTGGGAGATGGAAATGAATTCTATAGATCACCATGTTATATTTCTATTCTCCAACTTATAACATACTCTTCAACTCGCTTCCCTACAATAGAAATGCAACACATAAAGTATGTCCCTAGTATGACTAACAATAATATACAAATATATTCTATATATAACCATATTAGTTTAATTAATCTATGACTAAATTGTAATTATTAGAATGATTTAATTCCAAGGATCCAAACGGGCCCTATGTAATAAGCTTGGATTGTAGCACTAGCACACCATCATTAGAGGGATGCACTACTTTAGTGGTGTGGTGCAAAAGAAGCACTAGTAGAGAACAGACTTTCGGTTCAGTACATTAGTCTTGGCTAGCCTTGGACCCGGGACTAATGGGTAGTCCCGGGTCCAAGTTTCCTAGGCTTCAGATGACCTTTAGTCCCGGTTGGTAACACCAATCCAGACTAAAGGTGTCGGGGATCAATATTAGGGTACCCGAAGAGGAGGAGCTAATGACCATCAACCTTGATCTATCCATGCGATCAGGAGCACGACTACATCGCTTGCCGGGTCACTCCTCGACCGTCCACCGAGACCATAAGCCCCACCTTAGGCTGACTCCCGAGGACTGCCTCCGCCTCGCCCGACGTCTAAGGGCAGACTCCGTCTCACCCGACCCTTGAGGGCTGGCTCCGCCTCGCCCAACATCCGGGGGCTGGCTCCACCACACCCGACGTCTGGGGAATGGCCCCGACTCGCCCGATGTCCGGGGGCTGGCCCCGCCTCGCCCGACGTTTAAGGGCAGACTCTGTCTCGCCCGACCCCTGAGAGTTGGCTCCGCCTCGCCCGACGTCTGCGCACTACTCCTTCATAACTACGCACAGATAAGGCAGGGCATTCAAGTCAACCGCAATACCGAGGACCATACCCTGCATGCCTGTAGGAAAGTATCATCAGGATATGACAAGACTGACACTTTAAGCCCTTCCAGGCATGTCAGAGCCCTAACAGTGTTGTAGGCGCTGCCATTTGTCTTAGCAGCGTTGTGGGCACCGCCATTTGCTCTCGGGCGTGGATCCTGACGGAAGCATATGACAACCACTATGGTCTAGGAGAAAACTCGCATCATCTACAGTAACAAACATGCGGTCACTGCACCGTCTGCTCCCCGTAGGGTCACGGATCAACACCCTGGTCCGTCGCACCGCCCGCTGGGGCAGGATGGGAAGTGACCACTTGCTGACAAGGCCAGCACATGGCATCGTCAGCGGACAAATGCCTAGTGCGGCCCTATCAGGATCAGCGGACATGCACCCGACATGGAGCTATCCCTGGCACCATCTGCCGTGTCAGCGGGGCTCGCTCAGAGGAAAAGGAAGACCCGAC